TCATTTTTTATTTCTTTAAAGAAAAAAAAAACATCAAATTCATCCTAATTTTTCAGTTGAGCTTAAAACTGTTATTCATTATGCAAACCGTAATTTCTCATTTGATTTTGGAGTGATATAACCAGGACATTACAGTTTTCATGAGATTCACCCACACACACATGCTCTCGCTGCCCTGATATGAATGAAACATGAGTGTGACAGACATGAATGTTCTTGTTTGTGAGAAATTTTACAGAAAGTGAGAGAGAACATATAAGAGTAAAGATGTGTTTTGCGTGAGCTCAGCTCTGGGCCAGTCTGAACGTGTGTTGATGGAAGAGACATTTTTATACTCCTGTACATCCACACGCGCGCACACACACACGCACAGAGAGAGAGTGTGTTCAGTAGGCCTTATAATCCCGTTACAGCTCCATACAGCACACTAGGCTCCAAAAGCAAAGCAGCAGTCAGCCTCCAGCAGAGATTTGTCTGTCTAATCGCGCACAAACACGTACACAAAGCACACAAATACACATAAACACAACCGGGGCTCACAGATAACACTGTTTTGCAGGCAACTCTTGAGCCACGGCGGCAATACAAAACGCTTTCCCAAAATATGCCAAAGCCTTTAGACATGCTAATATTCCATTACACGCATAATGTTGTCAGGAAAGGTAAAGCGACACTGCTGGAGGAGAGATGTGTACCATACACCATCATTACAGCAACAAACACACATATATAATTACGCTTACATTATTGCTCAAAGCAAGCTGTCATGGTTAAAGGTTTACAAGTAATGCTTTAACAAACGCTTGTAGCAATCTTGAATTTCAAGAATGTAGCTGACGGCAAGGAGTTTGGTGAATCTGGCTTCCTACCTAAACAACATTTTAGAGTATTTTAGTGTAGAGAACCTTCTAAGATAGCATATTTAGAAGTCTAGGGCAGCATCACATTCATTCACAAAATGCACTGCAATAAGCTTGGTGAAGAAAAAAATCAAAGATGAAGCATATAAATTACACTATTGTTCAAAAGTTTGAAGTCAGTATTTTTTAAAGAAAGGACAACTCTCTCTCTCTCTCTCTCTCTCTCTCTCTCTCTATATATATATATATACACTACCGTTCAAAAGTTTGGGATCAGTAAGACTTGTAATATTTTTTAAAGAAGTCTCTTATGCTCATTAAGGCTGTATTTATTTGATCAAAAATACAGAAAAAAAGTGTAATATTGCAAAATATTATTACAATATAAAATAATGGTTTCTATTTTAATATCCTTTAAAATATAATTTATTTCTGTGATGCAAAGCTGAATTTCCATCAGCCATTAATCCAGTATAAAGTGTCACATGATCCTTCAGAAATCATTCTAATATGCTGATTGATTTTCAGTGCTGGAAACTGTTGTGCTGCTTAATATTTTTTTGGAACCTGTGATACTTTTTTTCAGGATTCTTTGATGAATAAAAAGTTAAAGAGAAGAGCATTTATTTAAAATAGAAATATTTTCTAACAATATACACTACCGTTCAAAAGTTGGGGCTCAGTAAATTTGTTATTCTTTCTTTTTTTGAAAGAAATTAAAACTTTTATTCAGCAAGGATGTGTTAAATTAAGAAGTGATAGCATATTAGATATTGCCTCATATATATACTGTATGTGTGTGTGTGTGTGTGTAATAAATATTTCATAACATTATTAAGAATTGATGACAAGTTGGATAACTATAATGAATTATTAATGAAGGTCCTTATAAAGTGTTAGGTACAACATCCTAGCACACACTTATGTTCCTGACCGCCCGTCTGGTTCAGAGAGGCACGTGTCCCACAAAACAGCACACACCATGCACCGGGTACCTGGGGGGCTGCCGTGATGGTTGACTTTCTACAACTTTCTCCCATCTCCCGCCTGCATCTCTGGCGCTCAGCCACAGTGATCTTTGGGTTCTTCTTTACCTCTCTCACCAAGGCTCTTCTCCCCCGATAGCTCAGTTTGGCCGGACGGCCAGCTCTAGGAAGGGTTCTGGTCGTCCCAAACGTCTTCCATTTCAGGAATGGAGGCCACTGTGCTCTTGGGAACCTTAAGTGCAGCAGAATTTTTTTTGTAACCTTGGCCAGATCTGTGCTTTGCCACAATTCTGTCTCTGAGCTCTTCAGGCAGTTCCTTTGACCTCATGATTCTCATTTGCTCTGACATGCACTGTGAGCTGTAAGGTCTTATATAGACAGGTGTGTGGCTTTCCTAATCAAGTCCAATCAGTATATTCAAACACAGCTGGACTCAAATGAAGGTGTAGAACCATCTCAAGGATGATCAGAAGAAATGGACAGCACCTGAGTTAAATATATGAGTGTCACAGCAAAGGGTCTGAATACTTAGGACCATGTGATATTTCAGTTTTTCTTTTTTAATAAATCTGCAAAAATGTCAACAATTCTGTGTTTTTCTGTCAATATGGGGTGCTGTGTGTACATTAATGAGGAAAAAAAATTAACTTAAATGATTTTAGCAAATGGCTGCAATATAACAAAGAGTGAAAAATTTAAGGGGGTCTGAATACTTTCCGTACCCACTGTATACTGTATGTGTGTGTGTGTGTGTAATAAATATTTCATAACATTATTAAGAATTGATGACAAGTTGGATAACTATAATGAATTATTAATGAAGGTCCTTATAAAGTGTTAGGTACAACATCCTAGCACACACTTATGTTCCTGACCGCCCGTCTGGTTCAGAGAGGCACGTGTCCCACAAAACAGCACACATCATGCACCGGGTACCTGCTACCGTGGCAACTCGCTCATTAGATCCCCTTATTAGAGTCAGCTCATTAGTGTTCAGTCTGCACACTCATTAAAACAGCCTCTCTAGCCCAGCACACGCATTCAGCCTTGATTAATTTGCTTATTTCAGCATTCATTCACATCCCGTAGGTGAACAGACACACTTATACACTTACACACAAATACAACTGGCGAGACCCACCGCAGAGGTGCAGTTCTCTCTCACACACACACACACACACACTCACAAACACACACACACACATACACACGCACACACACACACACACTCACGTAAATCCAGCTAAATCTAGCCAGATCTGAACTTCTCTTACAAGATTACTGCTGATAGCTCTGAGTTATGGTTCTCAATTGCTTTCTAGCCCTAAGTGATTCAGTAATTTAATGAGATAAGGAAAGTAAAAAACCTGAAGTGGGAATCTTTGCATATTTTTCATAACATGTTTTCAAAGAGACTTTTTTTTCAAACCAGAAATTATTTTGATAAGTTGGATTTTTGAAAAATAGGCAGCAAGATTAAAAACATGAACAATGTTTAATGGTAAAATGCTAAATTTTTTAATTGAAGTGGGCAGTTTTTGGCATCGATATCATTATCGATACAAGCAAGGGCGTAGATTACGCGGAGGACGTGTCCCCCCCACTTTTAATATCACGTAAATTCGTCCCCCGCACTTTTTCGGGCAAGTGTGTTCGCATAGAGGTCTTCAAGAGCCGGTGTGAATAAATATAGATTTAAATTCAAAGAGACAGGATAGTCTGTGCATGATCTGATGTTTTATTCAGACCCAGAATAAGGCGAGATGAACATCGCTGAGCACTAAACACTCCGTGCAGTGTCTTTTTCATTCACACTCGTAGCCGGAGGGCGCTCTCGTGCAGAAAGTCGTATGAGGAAATTCCTAATATGAACAAAAGCGTCCAGCTATTGCTGTATGAAAACAGTTGTTTTCAGAAAAACAGAAACATTTCAAATTTTTCAGAAACGTTTTCTGTCCCCCTCACTTCTGAAATGATGGCTACGCCCCTGGATACAAGTATTCAGAGATATTATATATATACACAAACTACCGTTCAAAAGTTTGGGATCAGTAAGACTTGTAATGTTTTTTAAAGAAGCCTCTTTCTCATCGAGGCTGCATTTATTTGATCAAAAATACAGAAAAAAAACAGTAATCTTGCAAAATGTTATTACAATATAAAATAATGGTTTCTATTTTAATATCCTTTAAAATATAATTTATTTCTGTGATGCAAAGCTGAATTTCCATCAACCATTACTCCAGTATAAAGTGTCACATGATCCTTTAGAAATCATTCTAATATGATGATTTATTATTAGAATTATCAACGTTGGCAACAGTTGTTTTGGAATGGATTTTATTTTTTTGGAAACTGCGATACTTTTTTCAGGATTCTTTGATGAATAAAAAATTCTTTGAAGAATACAAATTTACTGAGCCCAAACTTTTGAACTGTAGAGTATATTGTTAGAAAAAATTTATATTTTAAATAAATGCTCTTCTTTTTAACTTTTTAATCATCAAAGAATCCTGAAAAAATTTATCACGGGTTCCAAAAAAATATTAAGCAGCACAACAGTTTCCAGCACTGAAAATAAATCAGCATATTAGAATGATTTCTGAAGGATCATGTGGCACTTTATACTGGAGTAATGATGCTGAAAATTCAGCTTTGCATCGCAGAAATAAATTACACTTTAAAAAATATAAAAATAGAAAACAGTTATTTGAAAATGTACTATTTCATAATATTACAGTTTTACTGTATATAACAATCAAATAAATGTATAAATATAAAAATATTAATTTGTATTATTGTTCACTTACGTAATGTTTAAAAATATAACATCATTATAAAGTGCTACCTTATTAAAATAGAATTTAATTGCAGTTCATATGATATGGACATGAGTACATATAGAAAAATGTATCTGGTTCTCATTCAATAAGAAACAAAAGTGTCAGAATTCACTCTTTTAATGTATATTTTTATTTTTGCATAATGCAACATTTATAGCCCTTAATAATTAGTAAAACTTTCCAATATAATGTAAAAAAAAATCATATTAAAACTGATATATGAAATACTATAAAAGCAATTTTATACTAAATAGTTGTTTAATAGATTAACCACAACTACAGACATAACTTTTATTTCTTCTTGTCCTCTATTCATATTATTATTTTTTTTTTTTTACAAAATCACTTATTACTACTTATCACAAAATTCCATCAAAATCCTTAATTTGTGTAATTGCAGTCCAGACAAATTGAATCCTCACCCTCGTCTAATGGTGTAGTGCTCATATGTCTGAACTCTTCCTCAAGGCAGGCCAGAGCCAGGCAATCCTCCTCATCCTCATCAGAGTCCTGGAGATCGAGCTGCTCCACGCTCTGGACCTCCATGATCTCCTCAGCAGCACGAGACACTGGCCAACGAGTCCCGGCACTCAGGGGCCGAGAAGAGATGGGAGAACATCTGCTTATGGTGCCTAAAAAAGAATAATAAGAGCTGAATGAGATTATGAGAGCTGCTAAATAACACACCCTCTGACTTGAGGAATCATTCATGTCAGCATGAGTTACACATCAAAGTTGAATAATTATGGTTAGTGGTTTGTACAGATCTCTAACGCCAAGTATGAGCAACAGTAATAGTGATGGTTGCCTACAGTTATACTACTAATAACTGTGACTAAAGATAATTAGAGAGATGATGGGAAAGGCAAAGAGAGAGATGAAAAGCACACACAGAAAGACAGCGCTGGGATTGACGGCTTAAGTTAGCGGGGTCAGTATTATTTACTGTCACACGCTGGCCTAATCAGCTTCTATGCTCTCTGATCCAGCAAATCACAATAACACACTTACACACTTCTCTCTCCTCCATGTGACTTTTTTCATTATATTCCCTAGTTTCTTCTTGTCTTGTGTGATCTTTCTGTTGCTGATAGTGAAGTGTACGCCTCTATGTTCACCGAGCAGCACTCAGCTAACATTACAGTAGTGGTGAGGAAAGTGATTCACACTTTTTAATCTTTTGAATCAGTTCAGTTTAGTGACTCATTCTGTAGGTTACATCATTACACCAGTGAATAAAACGGGGAGTCGATCGAATGATTTACTCATCAGATTCCTTCAAAAACAGTGTTTAAGTATCATAAGCATACTCATCATGAATCATATCAGCAGATATACTATTTTGTCAACTTGTGGGATTTATCAAGCAATAAAAAGACATCTATAGGTGAAAGAAATGGATTACTAGTCATTTATTAAGGTGATATAACTCAACTCTTCAAAAGTTTGGGTTGTGTAACATTTTTGAGAGAAGTCTCTTATGCTCACCAAGACTGCATATTTGATAAAAAAAAAAAATACAGTAAAAACAATTATATTGTGAAATATTATTACAATTTAAAATAATTTCATAATTTTAAAAAATATAATTTATTACTCTGATGCAAAGCTGAATTTTCAGTATGCTGATTTGCTGCTAAAGAAACATGTTTTTATTATTATTATTATCATTGTTGAAAATGGCTTAATATTCTAGTATTTCTTTCAGGATTCTTTGATGAACAGCCTTTATTGGGAATAGAAACATTTTGTAACATTATAAAACTCTTTACTGTCACTTTTGATCAATTTAATGCATCCTTGCACAAAATTATTATTTCATATATTTGAACAGTACTGCAGAAGCTAATAAGAATGATTCATTGACTGAAAAAGATATATTTAAAAACCGAGTAGTGAAATGCCCAGGTGACATAGCAGGAGAGATCATGTATTAGCTGATACCACTCCCCACGATTTGGGCTCGGGAGGCCGACGGCTTTGAGTATCCTCTGATGCAAAAGGCCCAATCTAGCGTTTCGAACCTGACACAAGTATATGAGATATACAGAGAATGAACGGGAGAGAGAGAGAGAGAGAGAGAGAGAGAGAGAGAGAGAGAGAGAGAAAAGCAGGCAAGAGAGCATGGACGGATATCTGACGCTTTGATTTCCACCAGCCGAAATCACAGCTGTCATGCTGTTAACCAGATTATTTTTCCCTCCTCTGCAGACCTGCAAGTGATGAGCCGAGAGACAGAGAGGAAGACGTGTCGAGAGGAAGAGAAAGCACGAGCTAGCTAGCTGAGCTGAGCCGAGAGATTGAGGAGCGCGCCGTTGGCCACGTTCCCTGCACAAACACAGTAATCTCTTTATGAAACCTCAGCCGCGTGTGCTGGCGCAGAAAGCTCAGGAATCAGCTCGGCTTTAATTACGCGCGTGAGCCAATAAATCACGCCGCGGCCGAGCGTCGGCACGACTCTTCTACAGCCATGTTATTGATGTCCCGTTGGCCTTAACGCCGTGTCCGAAGGGTTGGCCGAGGCTCTCTGTAAATGATCCTTTAGTAACGGCAAAGATGCAACATCAGACCGGCTCAACATTTTAAACAAAGATTTAGTCGAACAAGTCTGGATTAAGTCTGAACACAGAAGGGATATTAAGGAGAGATGAAGGTTTTATTTTACTCAGACCAATACCCTGATTTGGGAAATACGATTGATAGCTTCAATTAAATTATGCACTGATCAAATGTGACAGTAAAGACATTTATAACGTTGCAAAAGATTTCTATTTTTCAAATGCTGTTTTTTTTTACTTTCTGTTCATTAAAGAATCTTGAAGAAACACTATTAATCAGCACAACTATTTTGAACATTGATAATAAGAAGAAATGTTTCTTGAGCAGCAAATCAGCAAAATTCAGCTTAATCAATTCACAGAAATAAATTACATTTTAAAATGAAGAGTTAATTTGCAAAAAACGATAACTCCATTTTTATTTTCAGAAATCGCGTTTTTTTTATTGCGCATTCCAAGTAATATCAATCAAACTGCAGTTGGGTTGTTTTGATTAAGTAATAATAACTTAAACAAATACAGGTAATTTACAAAATTTAAGTTAATTGAAAGTATGTTTTTTTTACTTATTAAAAGTTAGTTTTTTGGCAAAAGCAGATAACTCCACATTTCATGTTTTATCTTAAAAAAAACACTGGTTTAATCTTTGTAATCTCCTCAGATGACAATGTAGATGCCTGACAAACGTTGTTGTTGTTGTGATCATAAACTGTATGGATGTGATTACACGCAATACACTGAGCTTGTAACGCGCTGCTTTTGCACAGTTCCGTGAAAACGTTTCAGCTTTTATTTTCCTTTTTCGCCCTGAAGAAGATATCACAGGTTCATCAAGTTTGTCAAAATTATCCATCCTCGATCACTTTTAGTCAGCTTTGACGAAACTCCTCTCGTCTCAGCTAGCACGTCTTTTCAAAGTGAAAGTAGCCTTGTCACCTGACCTGAATACAGCGCGCTGATTCGCAAAAATGGACTTATCGGCTTCTGTTCAAAAACAACAATGGCGCTTGTCGGGTTCTGCAGTAAAACGTGAACTTGCGATGCCTTGAAAGTGGACAAAACCGGCTTTTTTGACAAAACGTGTTTAGTGTTCAGAACGTGCTATATGGGGAGAATAATGCACGGCTCATTTTTCAGTGGCATTTATCAGTTTTTGCAAATAAACTCTTCAAATATATTAAGATAGAAAACAGCTATTTTGAGTTGTAATAATATTTCGCAATATTACTGCATTTTGATCAAATAAATGCAGCCTTGGTGAGCATAAGATACTTCTTTCAAATAGATTTAAAAAAAATCACATTTCTGAATGGTGGTGTATGTCCTATCCCATGTTTTCCAGAATTTCACTTTGTTTTCAAAATGTTTATTTTTGGCCCTTTATTGATAGACAGTCTCAGAGGAGGCATAAAATGATGAGAAACAAGATTTGACACAACATGTCAACAGGAAAGATATTTTCAATGTTTTCTTTTCTGAAAGACTGATATACCAGTATGACATTTACAACAGAAAGAAGTTATATTCTTCACAGCCTTTTTTTCATTCACATCAAATTAAATCTGGTGTTGTACCAGAAATGAAAGCAAATGACCTGAGAAACACAGCCTGTGTGATGACACTCTGCTACGGCCTGGTGTGAGGGGACAAGGGGTGCTACTGATGGGCCGAGCGTTCATCAGCGCAGCGACCAGCTCTTCCTCTGCTTTATGCTGAAGACTGCTGCTGGATCTCCAGGACTCCTGCCCTACAACTACAATTAAAACAAACAATGAGAACCCCACACAGCAAGACAACCATCATCACGTGGTCTTGAAGATAATCCACTATCAAAGCTAACATACAGTTTACTAAAGTAGGTCCATAAGTTATTGTACATCACAGCTCTACATATCAACACTAAACATGTAAACTGTCTAAAAGCATCCCAGTAGATGCAGACATAGATTAAAGGTACTCAACTTCAGAAGGCAAGAGGACCACATTCAAACAAACACAAAAGTTGCAAACGTTTTTTTGTGCCAGTAAATGTAAGTTGGTCCTTCTTTTCAAAAACCTACAAACAGCATTCGTGTGAACACAATGCACCAGTTATCTGACCTCTGCATCCACTTCTCTTCATTACCATCAAGAAAGGCTAAGGTAAGAATTACACTGCTAATATTTTTTTCATGATAAATAGTTAACTTCAACAATACCAGCTGATATTGCACTGCATGCAACATTAAAAATATGCTGCCTCATTTTCATGCAACTTTTGGATGCTAAAAGAAAAAGTAAGGAAATATATTATGCTCAAAGAAAATTAAACCTACTGTATATTTTGGTTCATTAAATGTATGCATTGTTACATCATTTTCATGACATTTATAAAATTTTTCTCCAAAATTGTCATTTTCAATACAGCATTTTTTTTACATTACAATGTTAATGTTAATTTTCAATGTTATTTTATCAGTTTCTATTTTCTATTTTTATTTACATTTTAATGTAAGTTCAAGTTTTAGAGTTTTTGTTGCGTTATATTTATTCATTAGTGCTGTCAAACGATTAATAGCGATTAATCGCATCCAAAATAAAAGATTTAGTTTACATAATATATGAGTGTGTACTGTGTATATTTATTATGTATATATAAATACAAACACATGCATGTATATATTTAAGAAAAATATGTTATGTTTATGTATTAAATATATTTATATATAATATAAAATATAATAATATAAATATATAAATGTATATACATGTAAATATTTTCAAAATATATACTGAATCTGTGTGTATTTATATATACATAATAAATAAAACACAGTACATATACATATATTATGGAAACAAAAACTTTTATTTTGGATGCGATTAATCGCGATTAATCGTTTGACAGCACTAATATTAATACATAAAAATATATAAAAATTACAAAACTCAACAAAATTACTAAAACTTTAATATATACACACACACACACACACACACACACGTTTACACAGTTTTTCTTAATTTGTATTATTTATATATTTTATTTTAGTTATTTTAGTACACGTTAAACTAAAAATTAAACTAATTTATTTTATTTCAAGCAATGATTTTTTTTATGGTTTTAATTTCAGTTTATTTTTTTGTTAACTATAATAACCCTGATTACAGTAATAAGAATTGTGTGGGGCAATGTGCTTAATTTTCATTAGAAATTGTGACCGTGCAAAATATCTTAATGTTAATGCAAATAGGCTTTGTTTTCTTTAAGCAAAATATAATTTCTTATTTATTTCTTTTGATTTTGGTGTGAAATGTGACCCAGGCATGTTCTTGACAGGTTTTAGATACTCACTATTATCATAAGTCACTTGCAGTACACTCTTTACACAGGGACTGATCTAACCTGGGGTTAAGTGACTTTCTCAAGGACACAATAGCATTTCATGGCTCACACATTTTGGGCTTCAAACCAGCAACCGGTAACAAACTCCAAACTTTAGCTGGAAAACCACATGCGCCTGCGACAGCCTGACTTGACATGCAGACAGTGAGCGGTTGAAGGTTAAACATGTGTGCCTTCCATCGCCATCTTAAACGCCTGTTGTAATTAAGGCTTTTTCCAATCGACTGGCCGCTGCTCCTGTCAGTGCATGTCAGGGATTGCAAATGCACAGACAGGCCGATAAAAACGGCTCGACTGTGACAGAGACAAAAAGAGATGGGAAAAGGAAAAGACTGCAGGAAAATGATGGAGGGACTCACCAGCCAATAAAAACAGAGATGACAGAGACAGAACTGAAACCGGGACTTATTTGTCCTCTGTTTTCATTAACCTTGAAGCTCAACGAACCAAACAGATGCTTCATTTTTTTACAGTATATTAGATAAAAAGTGCCTTTTGCATATTTAGTTTCTGCATAATTAAATAACGGCTTTAAATAGAGCTGTTTAAAAAGAAATATTAGTGTTTACAGTCAAGCTAATGGCCTCGCCAAGGTAGCACATTAACACTGTGGAGCTAAAGGATAATGCCAGGAAATGAATGAATGTATAAGAGAGACATCATTTACACTCATCTTTAAGCTAGCAGCTCTCTTCAATGGCCAATCCATCTAAGTATGCAATAATTAGGTATCTAAATAATACGGGCGGCACAAAATGCACTATTAAGAGAGATGGCTGTGGTTTTCATTAAAGCGCGGTCATATATTAGTGTTAGAACCACATAAGCGCTGCATTCCAAATGTCTTATCTCTATTATTAAAGTATAAAGGATGTATTTGTGTTGGGAAAGATGTAAATAGCGCACAGTGGATGTGTTAACTAACACCTAGTATTGCATTTGCAGTAAGTAAGGTTTTAGAGGCATGACTTGTGAGGAGCGTGTACACTACTGTTTTTTGTTGTTTTTTTGTTGCATTAAAATGATCAAACATTTACAAATGTTACAAAAGATTTTTATTTTTAAAAAATGCTGTTTTCTGTTCATCAAAGAACAAAACTATCTCACAAAAATATTAAGCATTAAGCAGCACAACTGTTTCAATATCGATAATAACAATAAATGTTTCTTGAGCAGCAAATCAGCATAGTATAAATGATTTTTGAAAGATCATGTGACACTGAAGACTGGAGCAATGCTGCTGAAAATTCAGCTTTGCATCAAGGAATAAATTACATCTGAAAATATATTCAAATAGACCATAGTTATTTTAAATTGTAAAAATATTTCACAATATTGCTATTTTTTTATACAATAAATGCCGCCTTGGTGAGCATAAGAGACTCCTTTTATAAACATTGAAAAATCTTACCAACCACAAACCTTTAAACAGTAGTGCATATGTTCTTAAAATGGCATCTGATCCATTATGAGGGTTCAGACTTTGTTGATTTCGAGAGTTTCCACAGCAAAATTCATAGTGAAATTGTTAACCTCTGGTCTGTGTCAGATCATGTGGATCTTAACGCAACAGAGCTCTGTCATTTCTAGTAAAATTCATATTAAGCATACTTGTGCTTGCTTGAGTGAAAAGGAGATAATCTGCTGTGAGGTCAGTTCTTACAGTATAATGTGCTGTTTTACTGTAACACTTGAATATTATGAGCCTTACTGTGGTGTAGACAATGTTTCATGTCTCTATGAATGTCATTAAGGCATCTTGACTCAACAGTCTCAGGTGTACTATGCACAAAAATGTCAGGAGCTTCCTCAAAATGGCAGGCTCCAAGCTGATTGACTGATTTTATAGAATTTTTACTTGTTTTATCTTGCTGTATATTGCCCTCTAATCCTCAGAAATATATGGCTTTGTTTTGCCAGAACTTTATTTTGCTTCTCTACATACCTAGTGAACTCCCTGTGTGGTTCTGCTCTTCTCTAGAGCTTTGCGCTGGAACTGGGCTGGGCTGCAGGACTCCGGGGTCCAGTCCCAAAGTCAGGATCCCCTCTAGGTCTTGGTACTGCCCCGGCTGGATGTCCTGTCGCTGGGCTACAGAATGAATGGCCTGTGCAAGAGAAGAAACATAGTTAGAAACAACATCAGTCATTAGTGGGTCAATGACATGGCACGAATGTCATAAAAAAAATAAAATTGCACGAATTACATAAAAATGCAATTTATACAGACAATGACTTGAATACGTCTCTTAAATGTTGAATACGTTTCAATTTTTGCATTAAGATTCATTTAACATTTCTGTCAGGCTTAAAGTTAAAAAATGTCTGGATGGTAATTGTTGTGAGATCATGATAAATAATAAATAACTAAGAAAAAATTAATCAAAAGGCTAAAATTGTAATGATCTGCTATCATTCACGTTGATCTTGGTGCCATATACGCTAACCTTCAAAAGTTTAAGGTCAGAAAGACGTTTTAATGTTTTTGGAAGAAGTCTTTTATTTTCACCAAGACTGCAGTTTTAGTATTTGCAGTAGACTGAAGTTTGAGTAATTTTTCTTTCTTTTTTACATTATATTGGTAAGTTTGATTAATTATTAAGGGCTATTAATATTGCATTATGCAAAATATATATTAAAAGAGCTAATTCTGAAACTGCTGTTTGTTACTGAATAAGAACCAAATTAATTATTTTATATACTGTATATCTACTCATATCATATATCCATGTCATATGGTGTCATGCAATGAAATTCTATTTTATTACAGTAACACTTTCACCAAGCAACACACTCGTCAAGGCTGCATTTAAAACAAAATACAGTAAAATCAGTAATATTGTAAAATATTATTACACTTTAAAACAACTTCTTTCTATTTGAATATTAATTTATTTCTGTGATGAAAAGCTGAATTTTCAGCATCATTACTCCATTCTTCAGTGTTACGTGATTCTTCAGAAATCATTCTAATTTGCTGTATGGTATTTGTGCACAATAAACTTTTCATATTATTATCAATGCTGAAAACAGTTGTGCTGCTTAATATACCAGGATATATTTTTCAGGATTCTTTAATGGAGACATATTATGCCCCTTTTTACAACATGTAATATAAGTCTATGGTGTCCCCAGAATGTGTCTGTGAAATTTCAGCTCAAAATACTCCACAGATCATTTATTATATCATTTTGAAAATGCCTATTTTGAGTGGAAGCAGAAATGTGCTGTTTTTCTGGACTGGCTCTGTCAATGCAAATGAGCTGCTTCTCCCCGCCCCCTTTTCCAGAATAGAGCTGCGCCATTACAGCTCCTACCTGCTAAAAAACATCTGTTTTGGTTCTGATTATCATGTTTATCGCACTGAAATCATGCGTTTTAAACCATATGAGTTTAAACTTCTTATATACAGTTTTCTGAGTGCACACATCCGAAGCACACGCACAGAAAGCGGCTGTCACAGCATGTGAGTACTAAACTAAGTTCTCATTCACACACAGGTTTACATTAAAAACACACGAGTTACAAAAAACAGTCGATTATGTCTGTGAAGGTAAACAGCTGGGAAATAAATCACATGTTTATTTTAGATCTGTGTGGCAGCAGCAATATACAGTAAATAAATCAATAAATACACTGCTCTCTTGTCTCCTCTGAGGCTGGGACTGTAAATAGTGTTTAGGTGCAGCCAATGACAGAACAGTTAGCATGTTTTGCTCAAACTTTCGTCATGGCATTAGAACTAATATACTGTTGTCACTTGCGAAAACACAATAATGGCGCCGTGGGTGTAAACGTACAGATTAAGGGGCGGTAATATTACGCCCCATTCACACAGGGCATCGGCGTCAACGCCTCTCATTTACTTTGAATGGAGTGACGTCAAGCGTTGCCGAAATTAATTGTGGGTCCGTCGCGTCACGTCGTGTCTGTTGCTCACGGCAGAAGTTGAAAACTTTTCAACTTTTCAAGCGCCAACACAGGCACAACACAAGCCAATCAGATCGTCTTACGCAAATACCCTGGTGCAGACGCTAGCCAATCACGTTCATGCAACACCAGAAAACTAATGTGATTGGCTGTTGTCACTATGATGGTCGCGTCAGCACCAAGCTTCAGAAACGCCCTCCATCAAGCGTCGACGCTGATGCCCATGCCCCGTGTGAATGTACCGATATAATAAGATTCCTTTGCCACGTCACCAAGGGAGCAAAATCAGACGCGCTCGTTTTTTCAGACGCTTGCCGAAAAAGGCTTACCAAAACAAAGTTACTGTGTTAATTTTTTTCATGTTTCCTTGGTTGGTAGATGCACTGGGGACCTGATTATAGCACTTAAAACCTGGAAAAGCCCGATTTTCATGGTATGTCACCTTTAATGAATAGAAAGTTCAAAAGAACAGCATTTATTTTCAATTTTGTAACAACGTAAACATTTTTACTGTCACCTTTGATCAGTTTAATGCATCCTGGCTAAATAAAAGTATTAATTTTGTTTAAAGGAATACAACTAGTGCTCTCTACCTGTTTATGGTCATCTTTTGCTCACTTTTGGACATTTAAGCACACATTTTCTCTCTCTCTCTCTCTCTCTTTTACGCAGGTTAAATTATGCCAAATTTAATTTGTCAATTTCAGATGGAGCACACAGACAGACAGAAATCTTTTTAAAAGAAAAAAAATCATATTTTTAAACTGAAATGAAATGAGAAACAATTATGATTTGATTGAGTCCCAGTCAGTGTCCTTTAAGTGGAAAATGAGGTAGGGGAAAAGAATCGGCGGGTGGTAATTAAGGACACAAATTTTCTGATCGCCAGACAAAAGAGCAGATATAAGGCCGCTTTCTGATCAGACATTTAATTTCAGGTGTTTAATATAATTCATTTTCTTTTCTCTCTTTCTGTTATGCCATTAAACTCTGATAGTCAATTTGCAGCCGACTTGACAGCTCTGTTTCCTCTTGCCCCTCATCAGCTGAGTAGTCTTTGTCTTTTCCTGCTATTACCTCTAACACAGCATGAAATCTACAATTAAATCACATAGGAGTAATATCTAATTGATCAAGTGTTTAGTATATGAGAGTTTCCAGCAAGGCCATTCAGTATGAACTAAAGAATTAATTTCATTGTTCTCATACTCTGTTTTTTATATAATATTTCCAGCAGAGTCTGTGAAAGCCCATGTTTTTCACTATATCAGTGGCTGCATTTCCATCTTCATAAAATCCATAGACTAACAAAAGTTTGTGAACAAAGATTTTTTTTAAATAAATTAATATTTTTCTCAGCAAGGATGCATTAAATGGATCAAAGGCGACTGTAAAGACATTTATAATGTTAAAAAAGATTTATATTTCAAATAAATGTGGCTCTTTTGAACTTTCTATTCATCGAATAATCCTGAAAAAGAATGTATCATGGTTTCCACACAAAAAAATATAAATATGGAGATATTTCAACATTGATAATAATAAGGAATATTTTTGACAAGCAAATCAGCATTTATATAATACTATTTCACAGTTTTTACTGTATTTTTGATTAAATTAAGGCGGACTTGGTGAGTATAAGAGACTTATTTTAAAAAATATTTAAAAAACAAACTTGTTGTGTATTAACTGGTCTAATAGTGGGTTATGGGTAACCTGATTCAAGTAACTGAGGTTGAAGATTCTAAAGGTCTCTGATCACCTGAGAAGATCCTGTAAAAAGGTCTGGTTCTGTGTTGTCGTTTTCTGACTTTGAGAGGTTTGTGAAAGTGAAATGAGGCTCTGCCGGAGGGGTCGTGGTGGGGCACGGAGAGGAAAAGCCATTCTTTTGTTCTTCTGCATCTGTGATTCGTCTCAGTTCTTCATCAGATGAGTCTTCTTCACTGGGCACCAGGCAAGCATCTTCACCTGTCATTTCCTCTTCTGAATCTGAACAGTGACAAATAGTGAGAGAGGAGAAACACTGAGGACAGGAGGAGAGAAAACATCGAGGCAGAAAGGAGACGGCCGGCAGTGAGGATGCAAACGCACACCCTTATCTAACGCTCGCAGCGAGCCGCCTGGACATGGTCTAGCAGAGCTTGTGTGTTTCTCTTCCCTGCTTCCCGTCTGCTGCCTCCTGCATTAATAATGCTGATCCTACACAGCTTGAAGTTTCCATCACTCTGCTAGTCAGCAAATACTGCAGAAGCAACCGCTGTGTGAATGAAGGCTGATGTCTACACTGGTGTTTTCTCATCATCTTTACTCTCTGATGCAGATGTGCTAGACCCCAAGGGATGGTGGAAATCAGGTTTTTGTCATTTAGGAGCTGTTTTTTAATGTTTATCGAACAGCTCTTTGGAATACTTGATTTGGATTTGTCAATCATGCATTCGACTGTCAAATATTTTTGTACAAAGATGATAAACTGCATAATTGTCCTACACATCTTATATCCTTCATAGCACTGCACTTGTTTCATGTCTCTGTTGTCACTCCTTCTCCTCTTTATTCTCAAATAATACAAATATTTAAGCTCTAATTTATAATTCATGTCATACTTATCTATATCTATATCTATATATATATATATATATGTTCTAGCAAATATTATTATAGTATTAATATTTTGTATTGACAAAAAAAACTTTGTCTTGATGAACTTTTTATTATCTAGCTATTACATTTTAAATTATTCTCAAAATTAATTATTTATTTTTTTGTACATTGGTGTCTTTTACCATATTGATGTTGCCATCATTTTATCAAATCAATAAACCAGTGTTACTGTGTTTTCCCCTTGATTAAATGTTAAAGGCTTTACATTTAGCTGAAAAATACCCCTCAAACATGGTAAAAACACTGTAATGCACAGCTTTGAGTGGTATATTGGTTTTAAAAATATTTAAACTGCTATTAATTACATAGGAAACAGTCTTCATCACTCACAAACACTTTTGAAGGATCATTATAAACACAGTGGCACAAGCACATCATGGAAGACAAACAAAATTGCAATTAGATGCAGCTAACTAATATTTTCAATGTTCCGACAGCTTCAATTCTAATTTACCAACAGAAATCATACTAACCTGACATGTTTAGCTGTAAGGAGAACATTGTGGTTTTGGGTGACCTCCGTGAGCCTTTTAACCATTTAGAGGCCGGAGGTGAACGATGACCCTCAGTATGAGAAGATTCGCCCCTCGGCATAGAGGAACTGAAGGAGTCATAGATAGGCATAGTAGATATACTTCTATCTGAGACTAATCCAGACTGTGATGATTCTCTACGTGACAGCTTTAATGAAGGAACTGCAGCGCTTGGCGAAGTGATGGCACATTCTGGAGACAGCTGAGCTAATTTCGGTTCAGAAACAGGTGTTGAATGAGCAGGTCTGGATTGGACTGGGTTTACTGGAGAAGAAACTGATCTAGACCTTGGGGACGGAGAATCTGGAGGTTTTGGACTTTGTTTAGAGATGAGAAAAGCAGGAGAATGACATCGAGAAGACCGAACAGATGGTATTCCACCAGGAGAGAGGCTGCCAGTGGAAATATGGTCCTCAAAGCCTGGGAGAGTTTGATTTAATTTGGTTTTTGGGAGTGAAGGAGATGATGTTGGCAGAAGCTCTGAGGATTTGTCCTGCTGTGCTGCAGAAGATCTCGTCCATGGGCTTGGTTTTGGAGAGTCACTGAGTTCCACTTTCTGGCCTCCTGTTCGTGAATTTGACAGAAAGGATTCTGAGGCAGTCGACAGGTGCTGTGATCTCTGAAGCCTCGTCTGAAGTGGAGAAAAGCCTTCTGATCTTGGCAATAATGACAAAGATTGTTCAGCCTCTTGAGACGGCAGCCACATCTCAGGAGAAGAGTTTATCTTTATGTCAGAATTACATTCACCGACGGATGCTTTGGTCATCTCGGAGAAGCACGGTGTGAAAGGCAAAACCGAATATCCAAAATCTCCTACATTGCCAACAGCTGCAAACCTTAAGGAAGAAAACAGACATGCATATATAACATCTAACAACTTACACCCATAGTTAACAGCCTTATTTTAAGTCTAGTTGTGGCTGATATAAATGTAAATGTCAAGATGACACTGTATTTGTGTCAGTTCTGAGTTGAGGAAAAACACAGCTACTTCAGTTATATTGTTGTTTCAAGACTGTGAACTTTTCTGTCGCTTCCTTTCAAAAAGTCTCGGGTTTTCGCCTTGATCTTGTCGTTCTTACATTTTGCTCTCATTTCCCTGCTTGACTCCAAAGGATCTGTACATTGTAGCGTCTTCAACCATCTGGAAAAATTAAAGTGACAAAAAAATGAAACAAAACAAACAATGACAGAAGAAATTGGAGAAGACAAGAATGACAAGTGCAAGGAAACATCACTGAGGAGTCATTAGCTGGCTATCGCCCAGTAGTCCATTACAGAAACTAGGGTGGTGGGGTTCCGAATTACCTCATCTAACTCTACGACGCTTAAACAGGATTCTGCAGGGCTGTCCGCTTTCCCAGTATCCTCAGCAGGAGCGACCGTGAAGAGAGATGTAAAGTATTTATGCAGCTCCATCCGCTCTGCTGCAAATCAGAGATGCAGTAAAACAGATTTATGTTAAGAGTTAAACTGAAATTAAATCAGCTCAATGATCAGTATGAATGTATTTATACATAATACAGAGTGACAGATATCTACATTTATATTTCAGTCCGTGCCCTGTGTATTTTTTCAAGACATTAAATAAAAAATGTTGCCTATTTATTTTCTGAATAAATACCCCATCTGTGCATAATTAATTCATGCATATCACTTAAAGAAAGAAAATGTTTTCATAATATTTCAAAATACACTACTGTTTAAAGATTTGGTGTCAGTCAGATTTGAATACTTTTAACAAAATTAAAGAGATTTTTTTTAAATAAATGCAATACTTTTTAATATTTATTCAATTTTTTAAAAAATTTAAAAAAACTTTCTACTCATCAAAAAAAAAATCACTGTTTTTCAGTTACTGTTTTTACTATATTTTTGACCAAATAAATGCAGCAAATAAATTAAGACTTTTAGATGGTGGAGTATAACAAATTTCCAACTTTGAAATAATGTGGGTTTTTCTTCTGATAAAGTAAACAAGGCTGTGGACATCGGGGGGAAAATAACAGAAACAATTATTTAATGATCTTACTAAATTCTTGCCACATATTCTTTTCAGCATAAAAAATGATTTCAACTTAAAAACTTTCAGGGCTGCGTTTCTCGATCTTAGCGCTTAAGAGCATTTTCAACGAGTCATTTTTATGAACGTATGTTATAGTTTCACGTGTGTTTCCCAAAATGCACTTAACACAATCGCACGTAGCCCTGCTTTAAGTGCTACTTAGGAGTCGCTATCCGTTTGTCAAGTCCTGAAATGTCAATTTATAGAATGGCTCGTAACTGTAGTACACGCTTGTTTATTGAAATGTTAACCTAATGCTGCGTTCCAGACAGCTCAGATATAACATAATATAATTAGGGCTGCCCCCTAATAGTCGACTAACCGTTAATCGACCAGAAGAGGCTTCGATCAAAAAAATTTTAGTCGCAGAAAAAAAAAAATCCACATTGGCAAAGTCACGCAGATCTTTGACGGCTGATGGTAATACAATACATCCGGCAGGACATCCAAACGCTCGCCTATCAATCATCCACCACAAATATGGCTTATCATCTGAAATATGTAATTATTAGCAACTTTACATGGCCGCTCAATCTAATGTTAACCTAGAGAAATGTCTGCTATTCAAGTGTCTGTGTGGAAGCTGAACATTAGCGCTCACTGCAGGACAGATGGAGGCGCCGGGGCGCTCACTTGCTCTTAAAATAGGCTACTCCGTAATTTTTGGTCATACAGATAAGAGTAATACATCTTTCAAATCTGTAAAGACTCTTTGTTTATTTGTGTGCACTCACAATAACAACAAAACACGCTTTTGTAAAATAATGACAGCAAACAGGATGCGCTTTCTGCCATCTCGGTCTGTGAACTTGAGCGCGAAACTCTGTGTATATCTTTGCCTTACAGACATTAAAATATATCTATAGAGAGTGAAATGTCTACTTTCAAATGAACCAATTCAAATGGAAAACAAATATTCTCAGATTATGTAATCCGTGTGAAACATGCACACAGGCGCATCACTACTGCGGAGATGACGAGTCGGTGTCGACGAGTTAATCTCTTAGACCAAAACAAAGAAAGCACTTGTTTATCTGTGAATTATTAAAATGTTAATGCAGCCTCCGTACCGTTTTTCCCTGACACATACATAATCATAGTTTCATAGTGCCGAAATTTGCACCCTGCCAGATTATGCACCCCCTAGTATTGGTAGGTTTAGGAGTAGGTGTGGAGGAGGGGTTAGGATTAGGGGTGGGGTTGGGATTAGGCAATCAGGTAGCGACTTCAACGAGGGGGTGCATAATCTGGCAGGGGTGCAGAATTCGGCACAACACTGGTGCGCTGTGGCAAGCTTTATGCGTGTGCTTGAGCGCTTATTAGGCTTTGAAGGCAATTAAAGGCTCATTATAATGATTTAAATGGTGTATTAATAAACGTGCGATTAGTCGACTAATGCTTAAAATGAACGACTACTAGTCGACCAGAAAAATCTTTAGTCGAGGGCAGCCCTAAATATAATAGGCCTATAATATAATATAATATAATATTAATTTACTATATATAATAATATACATTATAGTAGTTATATAATATCTGTAGAGACATTATTTCCGAGTCCAATACATTGGTTTTTGTGCACGTTAGTAAGTCATTGACAGATCGGAAAGGAAATCTGGCGATTGTCCTGCAGGTGTCTTCTTACGATGCACTTAGGGCTTTACGATTACTCCAGAGCACTCGTAGATATACGATGATTTACAAGTGCTACTTAAGTTACGATGCTTTTGGGAAACAGACCGTAAAATTAAGATTTAAAAAATGTCACATTACAAAAGTGAAATGATTTGTGAATGTTGTGTCATGTTTTTAAATGCAGGCTGAATCAAGAAAAGCTGTTGACAGACTGAACAGGTAATGACCAAACAGCAGAATCCAAATCAGACGAACCACCAGAAAGACGGCTTTGCATTCGAAAAAGTGACAGAAAAGTGTTTTGGGCGTGAGCACCATGGAGACGGGCTTTAGAAAAGATGCGACAGGCTCGGGCTGGTGCCGATGAAGAGAGACGGCGCTCATCATGGGGCTGTTTGGGAAAAGCTAAAGGTGGTCAGTTCTTTGACAGCTGTGATCAACTGGCCTCCCAGCAGCACCTAGAAACTTCTCTCAATCAGCTGTCGGAGTGCTCTGTCAGACCATCGCCATCCCTCCAGTGTAATAAGAGCTCTGTGATTACCCTTCAGGGACGCAGTGATGGATCCGAGCTGCCGGCTGAGAGAGAAAAGCTGCCCACTGCAGTGACTCTTACAACTCATTTCTCCAACTTTTTGGAGAGAGTGTACTTGTACGGGTCTACGTGAATCGCAGCATGTACATGACCGGTCACCCACTATTCCTTATCATCCTCTGTCCAAGTTTCCAGTGACAAAAATATATATAAAAATGTTTTGAAATATCAATCCTATTTTGAGGGAGAGTTCACATTTACTAACTGATGACGGTAGCCATTGACTTGGCTAGCCATTGACTACTGTAACGAGAGGGGCGGGGCCGAGAGCCGTGGGAACAGAGCGAGGCCGGTGGAGTAATTGCGAATGCGCGACACCTGCGCCACTCACCGGTCTCGAGTCTCACGGAGGAGCTCCGGAAGGATACAAAGGAGGAGTGACGACAGGGAAAGACGAGAGAGGACCAGGCCTGGAGCTTATTTTGTGTTTTGGTTTTGTTTGTGCGCGACAGTCGTCCGCGAGGGGCTGTCGCGCTATTTTGAGTTTATTTTATTATTAAAGTTTGTTTAAATGTTCGCCGGTTCCTGCCTCCTTCTTCCCGACCTACAAACTACGTTACATTGGTGCCGAAACCCGGGAGGAAGGAGGGGCACGCTGCCAGAGATCCCTCGCCGCTGGGGTGAGTCCGCGGTGCCATCGAGTATGGCGGAGCAGTCTGCCGCCATGGACGCTCGACTGCCCTCAAGAGGAGGAGCCATCGCCATCAGGAGGCGGAGGAGTGGTGGGCCGTCCGCCAACGATGTCCAGTACCATCGCATGGCACCGCGAGTGAGAGCCTCTCAGCCGGTTGAGGACCAAGCGGCAGTGTGTCTGGGAACCAGAACCAGAATTTTTTTTTTTCCCTCTCTCCCCTCTCTCGTCTCTGTCTCTCCTCATCCTTCCGTCTCCTTTTCTCTCGCCTCGTCTGTCTGTCCTTACCCCCAGGTACGCCACGGCCGCCGTGATCGGCTCCCCCCGGGAGGTAGGTGGGGGGGGAGTAGAGCGCAGTCTCGGGTGTACCCCCCGGCCTGCGAGGGGCGATGGGGGTATGTAACGAGAGGGGCGGGGCCGAGAGCCGTGGGAACAGAGCGAGGCCGGTGGAGTAATTGCGAATGCGCGACACCTGCGCCACTCACCGGTCTCGAGTCTCACGGAGGAGCTCCGGAAGGATACAAAGGAGGAGTGACGACAGGGAAAGACGAGAGAGGACCAGGCCTGGAGTTTATTTTGTGTTTTGGTTTTGTTTGTGCGCGACAGTCGTCCGCGAGGGGCTGTCGCACTATTTTGAGTTTATTTTATTATTAAAGTTTGTTTAAATGTTCGCCGGTTCCTGCCTCCTTCTTCCCGACCTACAAACTACGTTACAACTACCATCAACTGTTTGGTTACTAAAACTCTTCAAAATATCTTCTTTTGTGCTCAACAGAAGAAATAATCTCATACAGGTTTGCAATAACTTGAGGATAAAATTGCACTGTTTATCCTTGTGATCTTTCATTAAAAAAAAATGAATAAAAATCTAACCTTTAATTGAATTTAAACAATTGAAAGTGGGGGGAAAACTAATTATGAAATAAAACTTTGTCTAATAAAATGTGGCCACAATTATTAGCACCCCTAGAAATTCGTATGAATATAATATCTCTGAAGTATATTCCCATTCATATTTACATTTTCTAGTCCTTTTATTTACCAAGGGGGTAATAATTCTGACCACAACTGTATATATAGATATAATTTCATCATTTATTTTTCTATATAAAAAATAAATATGGTCAATTGGGATTTTATGTTTAAAATTGTGTGACATGAATGTCTATTATCAGTTTACGGTTTAATTGCATATGTGTGTGATGAAACGGGTCGCACCTGTCAGTTTTCGGCTCAGTTCATCCATCTCTGCGGGTGGAGGTGTGGGTGGCTCCAGCCGGCGTTGGACGACAGACCGGGCCTGAAATTCTTCAATTTGTCCTCTGAGGGAGAGAAAATAACGCTGTTCCCAGTAAATCACACTCAGAAATTTGAGGATAATTAATCAGGCTCCCTTTCCTTAACAGTGCAACTATAAATGAACAACATTTCAGCACAGCACAGCACTTTAGTAATAGCTTTATCCTCTGAAAAATATTTCCCCAGTAGGAAAAATAACATTAACCAATAATGTAATAGCCTGACATGTTTCACTTCTTTTCAGCTCTTTTTCTAATCAATTCCTGATGTATGAAATCAAATCCTGCCCTACATTATTTTAAGGATGTGTACAACTACACAAAGAAACGGCTAGTTGGTGGGCTGTCTGAGTGAGTACTCTAGTCAATGTTAATGAAGATCTGTAAAATTAGGCCACTTTTTGGATCAAGTTCTTCAAATACAACTGAGTTTCTTAGCGATATATTGACGTTAAGAATAGAGTAGCTGAGTAACATACCATGATTTATGAATGTGACAAATATGTAATACTTTTCTTAATATGTGACAGTCATAAACCCAGTCACAATTTTTTTAAATTGAGATTTATACATCAAGCTGAATAAATAAGCTTTCCATTGATGTATGGTTTGTTAGGATAGGACAATATTTGGCCGAGATACAACTATTTGAAAATCTGAAATCTGAGGTTGCAAAAAAAATCTAAATACTGAGAAAATCACCTTTAAAGTTGTCCAAATGAAGTCCTTAGCAATGTATATTACTAATCAAAAATTAAGTTTTGATATATTTACGGTGGGAAATTTACAAAATATCTTCATGGAACATGATCTTTACTTAATATCCTAATGATTTTTTGGCATAAAAGAAAAATCTATAATTTTGACCCATAAAATGTATTTTTGGCTATTGCTACAAATATACCGACTTAAGACTGGTTTTGTGGTCCAGGGTCACAAATTGTTCTTGTTTTCTAGTATACATATCCTTGAAACAAAACAAATTTACTCTAAGAAGCAAAATGAGATCTTAAGGTCTAAAAGATTTGAGGTTTATGCTCAAAGCAAGAAAAACCTGTTTGCCATAGTTTGTTTATATATGAATACTTAAATAGTTATAGCAAAAAACCTAGATGTTCTTGCAGCATATATAACTGTGATAATAGTAAAACTAATATTTTTAAAGAAGTCTCTTTAAAAATATTTTATTAAATTTTAAAATGTAATTTATTCCTGTGATGCAAAGATGAATTTTCAGCATCATTAATCCAGTCTTCAGTGTCACATGATCCTTCAGACATCATTCTGATATGCTGATTGGCTTCTCAAGAAGTTGTTCTGCTTAATATTTTTATGGAAATCATGATACATTTTTTCAGGGTTATTTATAAAGAACAACATTTGTTTGAAACAGAAATCTTTTCAAATGGCTGCAATATAACAAAGAGTGAAAAATGTAAGGGTGTCTGAATACTTTCCGTACCCACTATATGTATTTATCATCCTTGCTTAATAAAAATATGTATTTCTTTAAAAATACTGACCCCAAACTTATGTCATATTATTAAAGTTAAATGTAAATGCTATTTCAACAGAGCATACAAAGAGTGTACTATTCTCTCTTCGGTGCATACAAGGAAAGCGACATAATTTCAATCCAATAACAAATGAAAGCGGCTGTAGGAAGTTGATGACCCAGACTTCCCGTTCAAGAGTAAATCTCAGCTCAGCCAGATTCCCCTGACCCACAGGTTTAGTCCTTTAAACCTTTTCCTGGCGATTTACCATACAAACGCATTAGCAGAAAAGCCATCAACCCTCTGTCTTTCCCTGAACACAAGTCTCTTTCTCTTTTATTCGTTGTGCTCTCGTCTCTCTTTCTGAAGCTCTTGCTGCCTCAGCAGGACAACCTGCTTTCCTCATTGTGTGTGCGTGTGTGTGTGTGTTTGTGAGTGTATGAAGGGATTAGACACCCCTATCACACACTCCATTCCTCCAGAGTGTGAGCTGCAGCCCTGGGCCACGCGTCTGCCCTCCTCCCACAGAACCCAAACACACACACACACATGCTGCAAAAATCCAGCTTCCTGTTCCGTGATTCTTCAGACACCTGGCCTCAAAAGAAGGCAATTTGACGGATTCACAATTAGACCCTTCTTGAATAGCCGACCTAAATACCATTGCTGCCACAGATACCATAACGCTCAAGAAGCCTGCGATGCGGTTCAAAGCGCTTAGGAGGGTTTACAGATACTGTGTTTGTGTGTTTTGCTTGCTTTTGTCAGGCTTTCGCAATCTTTTGGGGGGCAAAACAACCGTTTCAATGGCTCTGTTTCAAAACTTAGTGTGCTGCCTACATAGGTGGCTGTCTTCAAAGGCAGCACCCTAACTGAAACAGAACCTTCTTAATGACTGATCTAGAATGTATTGCACAGTGTTATTTTAGCATTATTTATTTACTACTACAGTCTTTATTAATGCTTCAGCTTTTATTTTTTCAGTTTTCATTTTCATTTTGGTTATTTTGTTATTTATTTGTTTTTGTTTCTTAGCTTTAATTTATTCTTAAGTTTCAGTTTTAGTAATTGTATTATTTTAACATCAAATTATTTCAGTGGCCAATTTCTATTTTTTAGTTTTGGATTTATCATCTAATATTTATTTTATTTCTGTATAATTTAAATATCTTCAATTACGTTTCTCTCACTTCATCGATTTTGGATAATTTTTTTATTGAGGTTATCGCAATGCATTCTGGGATTGTATTCTCTAAAAGAGTGCATTAGTGTCTGCCTACTTTTTCAGTGCCTTTGTAAGTACTTTTTCCATTAATTTCTCCCATAGGGATTTTAAAAATGTCTTCATTAAAGCATTATAAGTCATGAATCAAAACAAACAGTTACAAGGTGAATCACAACATTACAAACTTTGATTGAAGCAAAAATGTATTTGAAAATTGGACAAAAAAAGGTACAAAGGTACAAAAACTACAATCCCATGAAACACTGTGAATGACATAATAAAAATTAAAAATGGTGAAATATAAAACCATTCATTTAAAGTTGTTAATTATATCTAAAGAAACAATATAATTTAATTTTATTAAAAAATATCCATACATATATATATATATATATATATATATATATATAAATACAAATATTTAAGTATTCTGAGAGTGTAGGCAGACCAACTCAATCACATCATTTGCAATGCTTCATGGGAGTGGGCGGCCCTAAACAGTGTTTTGCTGCAATTAACTGGCTGCAACTACTGCCCGCAACTCTCTCTGATTGGTGGAATTTTCTGTACAGCATCATGGGTGATGTAGTTTTTTTTAACCGCAAATTCCGTTTTAAAACACAATTATTTAAAAAAATTAGTTGAACAGATGTCTTCAATAAAAGCACATATCATCGTTTATCAACCTCAGAGCTCACAACAGCTTCGCCTTTAAAGGTTTATAAGTTATCATTAAAAATCAATTTCCCTATGAAGAAAATACATTTATTTTTTACGTCATGTTGCTGCCTACAATTTGGAACAGGCTTCATGTTAGAAGTGTGCCTATGATGTCTTAAAATGGTCCCTAACTAGGCAGCCCACTAGGTTTGAGTGCCAGTGCGTTTGTTTAAAGAAGATTTCAGAAAGTTAAAGCAATACCACGAGACTGCTTTGGGGCTGATTAGCTCAGTAAATTCAAGTGACTCTGCGGTGGCACAACTTAAATGTGAGGCTGTGTAATTAGCAGCCATAAGTCATTAATTGATCTTAAATGGACCTTAATTGGGGCCTGGGAAGGTAAATGAAGCTTGTAATGCTCTTATTCAACGTGTGTCTGTTCGGTTATAAAGTGCGAGGTGTCAAGCGCTAACCTGCAGTGTTTTTTCAGGAGGAGTTTCTCCATGTAGCTCAAAGTGTCCTCCTTGAACTCCACATGAATTAACTGCTGGGATCCCTTCTCTGTTTGTGTTTCCATCACAGACACTAGAGAGAAAGTGAAACCAATCAAGTCTTCAGTCCAAACGGTGTGTGTACAGAACAGGAAAATAGCCCTATTTACCTGCAGTGTATATGCGGCCTAGCAGTCGATCAGACACTTATAACCCGATTTCTTATCAGCTTCAAGCAAACCACTAAAGAATTTATATTAAACAGACTCGTGAGACTAAATGAGAGAAATAAGCTGTCTGGTGCAGAATTCAAGCAGTACTATAGACATAATTCCGTCTTTGTTTTGAGAGTTATTTTGCTGTATTGTGAGAATATAAAGGGCGGTTAGACTTCAGTGCATTTGAAACCCCCTTAACACAGCAGTCATTATCACAGTGAGCACAAGCCAAGCAGCACTGCAGCGGGCGAGACTCCTGCTAGCCAAGTACAGAAAGGGAAGTGAGAGAGAGAGAGAGAGAGAGAGAGAGAGGAACAAACACAAGGAGTCTGACACATGATAAGGACTAACTTTAGTTTGCTGCAGTGTGATCTGACCATTCCATTGTAAGAACAGCTGTCCTATTCAGCTTTAAACCCCAACAATACATTAAAGATATGTTTGGAACAACAGGCTAGCATACTACTCTTACTATAGCTGCAGTATATAATATGTAGATTGTAAATGTTATGTAACTACGTAAATAAGTAATGACTGTATATGAAGTACCTTATATGAACTTGTACATTTGGCACATTTAAATGTGTGTGTGTGTGTGTGTGTGTGTGTGTGTGTGTGATTTATTATGTAATAACAGATTCCAATATGTGTTTTATTTATTAATGCATATTACATTACTAAATGTTCCCGATCCTCAAATATTATATTAAAATTTATGATGAAACCATTTTTTACCAGATTTTTTTTATGTTAATGCTGTTAATTTGTAGGCCAACCTACAATTATTATATTATTTTATTTTATAACTGTAATTTCCGTGTTTTATAGGATTTGGCATCACCTTCAGAATCTGATATCCAATATTTGTTAGTATTTTGATATTTATAACCACCAGTTTTGTTTTATTTCTTTTAGTGAGTGCAAATGAGGACTGCTTGTGGTACGTGGACAAAAATGGCACCTGGCATAATGGCTTTGATTGCCCGCTCATAACCTTCTGCTGTGGGAACTGTCACCGCCGTTACTGCTGCCTGGATGGCTTTAAGATGATCACCGAGGCGGGACAGAAGCGCTGCATGCTGTTCCATCTTAGGTACACTTTTCAAGATTCTAGATTATTGACCACTTAGTGGCCTAGAGAGGCTCATTAACCTCACATTAGACTACTATATAAATAAAACTAATTTGTTTTTAAAGATAGCTGAGCAAAAGTATGACTGTTATAAAAGAAGTGCTGATCTTAATGGTAAAGGTGCTAATTGCTAGACCTAACAGAAAGTGTTTTATTTTACATTTATTCATTTAGTTTATATGTGTGTGTGTGTGTGTGTGTGTGTGTGTGTGTGTGTGTGTGTGTGTGTGTGTGTGTGTGTGTGTGAGCAAAATGCATTGGTAGCATTGTGGCACAAGTTTTGTGCAAATGAATGAATGGATAAAATTCTAAAAGTGGCATTTAAATAAAATAAATAATTATTTTATTATTATATTAATATCTTATTATTATAATATACTCTTTATTTATGAATATAATGCATATAAATGTAAATGAAATGCAATTATTATTATTTCAAATGAAAATGGAAAAGAAAAAGAAACAGACAGCTTTCACCCAATTCACCCAAAAATAAAGATTCTGTCATTAATTACTCACCCTCATGTCGTTCCAAATCCGTAAGACCTCCTTTCATCTTCGGAACACAAATTAAGATATTTTTGATGCATTCCGAGAGCTCTCTGACCCTCCCATAGACAGCAAGGATCCTTACATCAAGGTTCAGAAATGTAGCGAGGTCGGTAAAATAGTAAATTGCGCACAAAAAGTATCCTTGTAGCTTCTTAAAATTACGGTTGAACCACTGATGTCACATGGATTATTTTACCGATCTCCTTGCTACATTTCTGAGCCTTGATCGAGTAAGGATCCTTGCTGTCTATGGGAGGGTCAGAGAGCTCTCGGAATGCTTCAAAAATATCTTAATTTGTGTTCCGAAGATGAACGAAGGTCTTACGATTTTGGAAGGACATGAGGGTGAGTAATTAAAGTGCCCTTATTATGGATTTTTGAAAATTACCTTTCATGCATTTTGCATGAAGTTTTAAATCTGAAAGAGCACCGTGTATAAAGTTATTGTCTCTTAATAGAAAGAGTCAACTCTGAATCATTGAAACAAGTCGTTTTTAAAACAAATCCCAAGCCGTTTCATGATGGCGTCATCATGAAACTTTAGCATATTGCCTGCCCACTTCTTCCCGAGTTCATTCGCGGTCTTTTCGCGTTGGCCTGAATGAAAATGCAAATTCATTCTTTGCCACTAGGTGCCGCTTCTGGAGTGGTAAAAATAGCAGTTTCCCCGGTAACGCTGTACACACAGTAGCACTGCACTCACAAACGCTGCTTTATCAGGCATTACAGGCATGATGAAATCGACCAATCGCCAATCGGACCATTCACCGCAGATTAGCGTCATGCAAAACAGGGGTTTGAAAAAATGAATAGTTGAGCGAATCGTTTGGGAGTCGTTGAGCAAATAAGATAAAAAAATAAATGCATGTTATAAGAGAATGAAAGTGTTTTTTTTTTACCTTGCATGCATGTCAACCTGTTGTTGGGGACTCCCAAAACCAAAATATGAACCTTTCATAACCCATAATAGGGGCACTTTAAATGACAGAATTTTAATTTTTGGGTGAACTATCCCTTTAAATGCATCCAAAAACATTTGTTTCAATGCTTTTTATATATATATATATATAAAATTGGGGGTGAAAAATGAATAAATAAATAAATCATCAAATTTCACTAGACATCCTGTCTACACTGGATGTGTGATGTGCATCATAATGCATCAAAATAAATTGCTCCTATTGACATGCTGCAGAGACACTCAAGTCACTTTATTGCAAGTCCCTAAGAAATAAAATGATTTTGATTACAAATATCATGTGGGAGAATTGATAGCTAGGAATTTTATTAATTCTGACCGTTACATCAAAGCCAGCTCATGACATTTCTTGTCTCTGGTTTACTAATATGCTTCTGATCATAAGTGTTGCAATACTATATAAATAATAATCAAATAAATGCATTTGCTTTAAAATAAAGTAGAAAATTAAGTTACTCAGCCATTTTACCTTTTATGAAGTCTAGCATCAAGCTCATTAATCTAAGAGCTTTAATGTGAATCTGCCACTAATTAACTGCAAGTTCCCCTGATGTGGTGAGGCTGTGACATTTATCACTGCATAAAGTGCACTAAATTATATACTATTCCTACACCATAGTAGGTTTAGAATGCACTAGGCTAGTATTTGATTTCAAACAGAGTACAGTGATTCTCTTAAAGGAGATCCTGAAGTCAAGTGCATGGAAACTTCAAGTCTGATCTCATTTAGCAAACAAATATCCCGCTGTTCTTGACTAATATCCCTAACAGATTGAATTTCTTGTGACCTAGCATCATCATTCAAGTTTCTGAGTATAGTTTCTCTAACTCATTGAGTCATATTTTTGTCAAATCACGGAGGCATTTCTGCAAACCACATGCAGCGCCTGGAAACACACACATGCGCGTGTGCGTCAATATATGTTGTGCGTCAGTATATGTAGTTACCTGGCAACCAATCAGCAGCCCTGTCATATTCGCGGCGTGCGTTCTTTCAGTCAATGCCACACATGAGTGTGCTTTATGAGAGACTGTTTTGTGTGTGTTCTGACAGCCTGCCAGAGAATATACGTGGCAGCTCACACGAACCTGACAGCATGTCACTTTATTACCGCGGTTTGACTGTAGCACATCCAAACACACTCAGACACTTATGTGTGTGTGTTACCTGGTCTCTGTCCTCTCTCTCTCCACTCTTTCAGAGCCTCCTGGAAGGACCTGGCTGACTCCTCTTCATCAAAGCCTCCTCTCAGCAGAGAGCTGTCCTCTTCCTCAGCAGCCTCCTCATCCTCCACGTCAACACCGTCATTCACGAACAACACCTGAGGCGAGACACGGAGAACACAATGAGAGAGACAGAGAGAGTGAGAGGAAGAGATGAAATTAAATGGAGCACATGGCCAAGTTTCCACACTCTACAGAAAGTTGCGAGTAGTTTCTTGTTCAAGTCTTTCGACGAATAAAATTGAATCTACCTAGAAACAGAATAAGAAAGAGACAGGCCACTGGCTGTGAGATATCAATCAGCGATAAAGCTGGCTAGAAATGTTTATTTAGCAGGTTTATGAGGTGACATTCTCTGTGGAAGTACAAGAATGATAAAATCCATTGGTAAAACATCAGTCAGACGCCTAACGCACATCTTTTGCTCTTCATTTTGTTAAAGAAATTTTAAGTAAGGTTTTTTTTCTGAAAGAACGTAATACTTTTATTCATCAAGGATGCATTAAATTAATCAAAAGTGGCAGTAAATACATTTACAATGTTGCAAAGATTTATTTTTAAACAAATGCTGTTCTTTTGAAAAATAAGAATCCTGAAAAAAAATTGTATCATGGTTTCCACTGCACAACATTGTTTTTTAACACTGATAATAATTGAAAATGTTTCTTGAGCAGCAATTCAGCATATTAGAATGATTTCTGGAGGATCATGTTACTCTGAAGACTGGAGTAATGATGCTGAAAATTCAGCTGCGCATCACATAAATGCACAGAAAAACTTTTGTTTTAAATTATTATTATATTTTACTATATTTAACACCACTTAAAGTCTTCATATAAAGTGCATCATAAAAGTATTTTTAATGCATTAATTATGCCTTCTAATGCACCTTATAATGTATTTTATGACCTCATCTATCTATTCATTGTTACACAGAAAAAGTAATGCATTTAAACACATTACAAACAACCAATTTCAGATGTACCAAATCTGCAAATATAATATATTTTAACTTTGGTTACAATTATTTATGAAAATATACTGTATATGAATGCCTTTATAAAGCATTGTACATAAAGGCATCAAGTAAAGTTTATTTTCCCACTATTTTACTCTATTTTAGATCAAATAAATCCAGCTTTAGTCAGCAAAAAAAACTTCTGTCAAAAACACTGAACTCATACTCAATGTCTGTTGTTGTTGTTATTGTTTTTTATCACATATACTATTTGTCTTCTTCTAATGCTCTTTATCGCAAAATATATCATCTTGTTTGCATTGTATTCTTAAAGGGGTCATATGATGCTTTTTTAAAGATCATTATTTGGTGTACAGAATATATTGACATGCAATATATTTTTTATATTTTTATACTTTTATAAAAATATAATATAATATATTTTTATAATATTTTATACTTTAATAAAAACAGTAGCTGATTCAGAAGCGCCAGATTGTCATAGCAAAGTCAGAATTACCTCCTCTCCTAGGTTCACGAAACGGTCGTCCATAAAATGCATTGCTGTTCTGTTGTAAGTGATCTTAAAGATTCCTAAATGCATCTACTTTCGGAAGGCCAAATAAAGTGCTTTTGCTTTCGCCTAGAAACACACAGCGTCTCCCTGACATGCTGCTTCAACACTAACTGCGGTTACTGAAACCACGCCTTCTTTCTTTGCGTGAACATTTGGGCGGCATTATGCTAATATTCCCACATAGTGATGTAGACATGTTAGAACGAGCCATTTTAGGGGGGCGTGGTAGAGTCTTAACTTTGATAAAAATATCTCTTTGGTTTTGAGACTTTAGTCTTTGCAACTTCAGGGATCTTATCTATGCACAATCAGCTTGTAACACTCCAAAGAGAAAGGAAAACTTGAAATCGAATCATATGACCCCTTCAATTTATTAAATAAAAAAAACTGTGAAGTGCTGGAAGTGGAAAAAAAGCCTATTGCTTGAGGCAACATTTAGGTACAAGTAAAACTTTATATATAGCTCATTATAAAAGTACTTTTAATGCCTCAATTATGTCTTGTAATGCACCTTATAATAAGGACTTTGATGTACCACCCAAAACAATCAGTGACTCACCTGTGTGTGGTGCATTTGGTTATCAGACATGGGCTGAAGGTTCCTAGGAGCTGATCTTTTCTCTGTGGCTTCACTTTCATCAGCGGATTTGTGGGATGCACCTCGTGTATGTTGATTCTCCTCGCTGCTTACCTGCTGCTGGAGGCGGCCCAACACATCCCGAGTGCTGACAGGGGTCTGGAGCTCTGCCTGGAGGACGAAGCATAGATTTCAATCAGACCTTTAATTCAAAGTGCACAAATGCATCCTGTTAATGATTCGGCTAATGTACTGATGCAGCCGAATGAATGCAAACTCTCTATAGGTAAAGCATTCATCCAAATCATTAAATGGATGTCCTGTGTTCAAAACAAGCTTTACGGACAGCATCTGTGACATGCTGTTGGTTCCAATGAAATTTTCATATGTCAGTTCGTAGAAACAAGAAACTATCATGTAAATGGTAATGCATTGACAATGGGGCAAGTCTATGAGGCAGCAAGGTTAAAACTAAAACTGAAACCATTAAAATTGTTACTTGAAATAAAATAAAATAATAATAAATAATAAATTTTAAAAACATAATACTATTTTATTTCAGCACATTTTTTATTTAGTTTAACTTTTAAACTGTTAACGTGTTTATCAACTGAAACTAAAACTGAAATATAATTTTAAAAAACTATACATATATAAAAAAAATAATAATAAAAATGACAAAAACACAACAAAATTATTAAAACTAACAAAAATTAAAATGAAAACCGGAAATACAGAAATAAAAACTAATTCAAAAATAACACTGTTGGACAGGACGTTGTACACACACTGGGAAAAAAAATTGGTGAAGATTTTTGCAATTTTTACTCAGTAATTGCAAACAATTTGACAAACAATTGCAAAGAAATGTCAAGATACACATTGAATTAAACATAAAATTTTAAAGTAGAAAAACTGAAATACTATTTTCTTGTATGACATACACCAATAATATTTGCTTAATTTACAACTTTGAAAAAAATGTGTACTTTTTTCGTTTTGAAAGTAGCAACCATGAAATATGTCATACTACAAAAGGACAATACATTGCGAAACCTAAAATCCATGAAAACCCTGTACTTACATGTAGCTTGGCAGGGTTTCTTTAATTTGATCATATTCACACCAGGTAATTGCTCTTTTTATTACTGATTACTGCAAACATTATCAAATCCCTCCATAAATAAGTGCAAATTAATAACAGCCATGAAGAAAAGCTTGATTAAATCACATAATTCACCCAATAACCACTAGCCAGTCAAATAATTCCTCTTTATGACATTATGTCCTTAAGACAACATTGTTAGTGGCCATTATGGCTGCTGAATGATGCTTTCTCTTACCTCACAGATAAGACCTTGACTGTCTTGTGAATACATTTTTATTATGCACCCAAACTACAGTAAACATTAGCAAATGTATTAGTTTATCTCTGCATATCAATTTGCAGACAATAGAAAGCAATAGGAAACGATTAAAGGGAGAAGAAATGTGTGCAATTTGAAAACAGAGATAAAAGAGAATGAATCGATCAAATGGGGAAATGCTTCTTTGTCAAAGACAGACGAAGACAAACCAAGATTGTAAAGAACTAACCCGAGGACAAAAATATCAATATTTGTTCCCTTTTTCCCCCATGGAAGCAAATTAAACAGGATTAGGATGCATATAGCTGCATCAGAGCCGAGCGTAGTAAAATACAATTCTCAGTTGCTTGCCAAGACTGCGCTCTCCCTTCAAGCAGAGCGCAATTTTGTGACTGCTCTCTCTTTCACTCAGTGCACCTTTTTAGGCAGCATTTTAAGGCATCATAATCAAGCTCCCAATGAAAAGACGGATCCAAAAACACTTCTAAGAGACCTTGTTTTTGGCCACAATATAATTCTTAAGTAATTCCAGAGTGCATTGTGACGCGATGCATTGCAAAGTGAAAAAATAAAAGCAATATGGTGAGAAGTAAAATAAACTCTTATTATAGTTAATAATATTATAGTAATTATAGTAACATTATGATCTTATATTATAAGATATATATATTATATATATTATATATTATAGCATCGATAAAAATAAACCATTTTACCTCACTGTGACCTAAACAGGCATGACACAAATTTCTAGCAACAGGCTATTTCTGTCCACACTGAAAGCAAAAATGGTTAGAAGTTGGTATGTATTTATTCTTATTAGAGTATTATGTCGTTTGATTAACCAACACCAAGTTCTATTGGAATCAATTGTAAGATGCAGCTGACGTAAAATGTTCTAAATAAGTGACTACTTCAGTTTTTTCAGTTTCATTTAGGTTTAGATGCTTAGAAGACAGATGCCTATGCAGACGATGTTGTAATTGATAACTATTTAAAATCATTTTTGGTAATTGCTGAAAATAAATTAAAAAATACAAATGAAATGAAAAACCTCAACCTATAGTTTAACAAGCTAAAGTACTAAAATCAGTAAAACTAATGCTTAAAAAAAATAATTAATACATTTTTTTATAAAAATAAATGCATTTAAAATAAAAATAAATGCACATTTAAAATATTAAGGGGATATGATTTTCATAATTTACTCACCCTCACGTTGTTTCAAACCTGTATGAGTTTCTTTCTTCTGTTAAACACAAAAGAAGATATTTTGAAGAATGTTGGTAGTCAAACAGTTGTTGGTATCCACTGACTTCCATAGTAGGGAAGAAAATACTATGGAAGTCAATGGCTACCCTCAACTGTTTGGTTACCAACATTCTTCAAAATATCTTTTCAACAGAATAAAGAAACTCTTACAGGTTTGGAATAACTTGGTGAGTAGTGAGTAAACAATGACAGAATTTTCTTTTCTTTTTTTCTTTGGAAACTATACTTTTAGACAGCGAGAAAACTCACTGGGTTTATGAATAGAGCCTATGGGTTCTTCTGTTTCTCCTCCATCTGGACGTCTGTTTGCTTGTGTTTGTGTAACTACTTTAACGGCTTTCTGCATGCGGCAGTGCAGGGTGAGCGTCACACAGGGCAGAAGGAAGTTTGGTGGTGCACATGTGCTGCCTAATGCTGCATGATGAGATGTAAACATGAGCACAGATGTGAAAGATTTATGTGGGTCACCCAAGGTCATGTTCTCAGAAGAAGAGCCAATCTCAGCATACCTGTAGCATGCAATAATTGGAGCACCTCAAACACTACGATCAACACTGACACACACACGATGATGCATAAACATATTTGTATGCCTATGTGGAGTGCTTTTGGTCATGGGGTCCTGGAGAGGTATGCTCCCTGTATGCCCTGGGGTTAGCGCTTAGCTTGCGATGGAGACCATAATGAGCTGATTTCTCCCAGTTGACTCAACGCAGTCTGAATGTCCCTGAGGGTCAAGTTAAAATGTGGCTTAAAAGATAAAAAATGCATTTTACTATATAAATGCACAGCTAAATATCAGAAACCCACAATAGTTACGTTTGTAATCATTTTTTTATGTTTTTGGAAGAAGTCTCTTTTGCTCACCAAGGCTGCATTTATTTGACCAAAAATACAGTAAAAACAGGAACATTGTGATATATTTTAAAATGTAATTTATTCCTGTGATGCAATGCTGAATTTTCAGCATCATTACTCCAGTCTTCAGTGTCACATGATCTTCAGAAATCATTCTAATATGTTGATTTGAAAAGTTTAGGGTAAGAACACTTTTATTCAGCAATGGTGCATTGAATTAATCAAAAGTGATGGTAAAGACATTACTGTACTGTATATGGTTTTCTCTTCTTAGAAGAAATGTACTAATTATAGTTGTACATAGTTAGGTACACAGAAGGTAGAGTAATTAGTGTCAACCTTCATTTCGTTACCAATTAAGTGACTGTAGTGATACTATAATAGTAAAATAATAGTAATAGTAAAATCACATAAAGCTAAGAGTTAATTAATTTAATGAGCACTGTTATTTTTACATACATACAATTCATTTAATGGGAACAAAAATAAATTAAGGGAAAAAAAATATAATACTGCTTATTTGTAGTATTGGCTAAGGCAAGCATGTATTACTCATATGCATTTTGCTCCGGGTGTGTGTTCACGGTGTGTGTGTTCACTGCTGTGTGTGTGCACTTGGGATGGGATAAATGCAGAGCACTAATTCTGTATGGGTCACCATACTTGGCCACATGTCACGTCATATTGGAAATCCCTAAAAAAGCAGTAACCCATCCTGAACGTGAATGAAACCTCAAATCATGTTGCTATTTGCTTGTAGATGTTACTACACTTTAAGTGAAGTTATCCTGTGGCAAATTCAATTGAATGGGTATGATTTGGAAAGGCACACACGTCTTAATAAAAGGTGTAACAGCTGAAAATGCATATCAGAGCAAAAACCAAGCATTGAGGTCAAGAGGAAAAGTCTGTAGAAAAGTCTGTAGAGCTCAGACACAGGATTGTGTCAAGGCACAGATCTGGGGAAGAGTTCAGGAAAAAATCTGCTGCATTGAAGGTTCACAGAAGCATGTAGCCTCCATTATCCATAATGGAAGAAGTTTGAAACAACTCTTCCTAGAGCTGGCCTCCTGGCCAAACTGAGCAATTGATGGAGAAGGATCTTGGTTAGACTGGTGACCAAGAACCTGATGCTCCCTCTAGTTGAGCTCCATGATCATAAGTGGAGATAGGAAAAACCTACAGAAGGTCAAACATTACTGCAACACTCCACCGATCTGGGCTTTATGGCGGTGTGGCCAAACTCAATCCTCTCCTCAGTGAAGACACGTGAAAACACACTCGGAATTTGCAAAAAAGCACCTCAAGGTCCCTCAGACTGTGAGAAACAAGAGTCTCTGGTCTGATGACCCTCAATTCCAAGCATCATGTTTGAAGGAAACCAGGCACTGCTCATCACCTGCAGAGTACCATCCCAAAAGTAAAGTGTGCTGGTAGCAGCCTCATGCTGTGGGGCTGTTTTTGAGGGACTCGTCAGAGTAGAAGAAAAGCTCAATGCACAAAAATATAGAGATAGCCTTAATGAAAACCCAGTCCAGAGCATTCAGAACCTCAGACTGGGCAGAAGGTTCACCTTCCAACAGGACAATGACCCTAAGCACACAACAAGAGTGGCTTATAGACGAATTTACGAAGTTGTGACGATTATGTTTTTGCTTTGCCATTATGGTGTATGGAGTGTAGATTGATGTAGACAAAAAAAGTCATTTAAAGCAGTTTAACATAAGGCAGCAACATAACAAAACATGAAATAAATGAAGGGGTCTGAATACTTTTGCAAGGCACTGTATATATATATATATATATATATATATATATATACTTTTTTCCCCCACTGTATATATATATATATATATATATATTGTATATTACAGTGAAGATGGGACCAAAATCCAGAATATCACAAAGACTTTTCAGAAGAGAATGTGACTGCAAAGACTGCCAACAGGACTGTAATGGTCACTACAGAAGCCCCTCCTCAGGCACTGATGGTACGATCCGGTGCGATGACAGATGTATTGACCGTCTGATAAAGGCTTCAATCAAACACCTCACCACGGGGCCACTCAAGTCTCTAAAACAAACTCCAGCTGATGGGAGCGAGTGTGTGTGTGAACATTGTTTGTGTGGCTGCTCTCTAACCTGGGAACAGGTGTGTGTAATCAGAGTTGGGTTAGAGTGAGCAGATTGTCCACTAATGGTGACCAGCTCTCCACGTTTCTGAGAAATGGCATGGAGGAGGAAGACTGAATCTGGAGGTTTGTGCCAGGCGCTGCTGCGGGTGTGTGTGCGTGTGTTTGTGTGGGATGGACAGAGTTTGTCAGAACACCTCCTCACCTGTACGGGAACCATACGATGGCGCTTCAGTGCCCCCTTCTGGTGGAATTTGACGAAGCAGCCCACACAATAATCCTCTCCACATTCCGCACACATCTGAAACAGATCACAAACAATTAAATAAACTCAGCATGCGTACAGCAAGGCATATTCACCCCAAAAACATTAATATCAGCAATACATATTTAAATATCTTGCACTTTTTGCTCAACACGATACATATTAAAATGGAGAGAAGGGAGTTGCACGTATCTTAAGGGAGCTCATTATTTTGTTACCGATTGTAAATGAGTGCGGAGGGTGATAGGAGAGCCCGTTTGACGGACAGATGGGTAGAAAGACAGCACAGGAATTTAAAGAAAGGTCTATCAAACCCGCAGCTGAAGAGCCACTTGTAAATGAATCCAGCCTGCTGTCTTGATTAATTCGGTCTGAACGTTTGCATGTCTTCTCTGTATGATGATGCAGCACTTCAGCTTGTGAGATGCATGATGCTTGGAAGAGTTTGTATTTCTAAGAACAGACTTTGGATAGGTTGGGAATAATATTTCTGTAGTCTATATGAACATTGTTGCACAGTAGGTGTATGTTTGAATTGAATATCCATTTAGCCTCTGACATTTGGCTAAATGTGGATGCAGAAGCACACTGCATGCAATACTGTATCCCACAATGCAGTGTGAACTAGAAGCTTCCTTTTTCCTTATTAGACTTTTTCACTTAAGACTTATTTTCCACAAAATTAAACATTAAACAACAGCAATGCAGAATGCTATAGTCAGTGTTGTTATTGTTAACTAAAACTAAAATGTAGTGGATTTTACTCAAACTTAATCAACATTGTGATGTCTATCAGCCATCGGCGATGGACAATGGCATCGTCTATCGGCCCAACATTACAAAGCACACAAAATTAAAACTAAATATTAGATGAAAAAATTAAAACAAATTAAGATAAAAAGAACTATGCCGATGAAAAATTACTTCTAAAATTAAAATGAAAATATAAAAATGAAAGCTCATCCAAAATATTACTACTAAAACAACACTGACTATAGTCTGAAATAGCTTTGCAACTTAAAATAGATGGAAACACTCTAGCATACAACTCATAATATTTCTGCCAGACAAAGATAAACAACATAAAGGTGGTATGTGGTAGGCATTATCCAGTGTATACTAGGCATTTTGCAGTAAACAGTACAGTACATTCTATCCTGAACAAAACAACAGCTTTCAGCTCAACTTTAGCTCCTGTGGCTTCCTCTAGGGTTGTGTGAGTAAGCACGGAGGAAACCCTTAGGAAGCCTTGGCTCTACACATCCGTAAATACATCGAGACAGACACACACACACTGAACATTCGCTTTAACACACTTGCTGTCTTTGACAGCCAAATGCCTATGTGCAAATTCCACAGGTACATTTCCCCTCGAGACTGTCTGTCTCAAAGCACTCAAGCCCCCTCTCACACACACACACACACACACACACACACACACTCGAGCAGCACATGAAAGTCCCAAATCTCCCAAGAGAGACAGGGTCCCCTTTAATACGGCCACACAAACACGCACACACACACACACACACTCACAGTGAATAAAGAAAAGGGTAAATACAGTACTGTTCTGTGAATCTACAGCTGTGCCCATTACCGGCTCCTTTAATGGCCACATAAAAAAAGGTCTCATTTCAGCACGACACCGCTGAAATAAATTACAGCAGCGGCATTCTTCCCAAACTGATTTTTAAGAGGGCTTCCGGACTGCAGAATCTGCAGTTCATGTCTTCTTTGCTATAGGATGAGTAGGAATATATTTGCAGCACTGCATTTAGCAGCAGTTCAATCTACTGCTGCCAGTCATAGCTCAAAGTAAAAAGTGGGATCTTACTGTCAGGAGCTAAGAGAGCTCTTTTATTCGAACTGATGGAGGATAACAAACCCTGTGTCATGCACTTTAGTCTTGAAGAGCCAGACTTTGACTATCGGTATGAAGTCTGGTTTACACTGCAGCTTAGTCTGGTTGAGAAAACTGCTTGACCAATACGTCTGCCTAGGGATGGGTTTATATGAAGTTCATGCTACCACTATAATAGAGCAGTGTGGGAAAAAAATTATAAAAGAAGTGTCATGGCAGATCTGTATGAATGGTTGTATGTGCAGAAATGATACGTTCATAGAAAAAAAAATGGAATATACTGTTTCTCAAGGATATCTTGTTTACTTGCTACAAAGTTGCTCAAAGAAAATTACTGCATGTCTTTTAAAGTTGAAGCACCCTGAACTTTGCAAACTTTGCAAACTTCTGCAAATACTCTGATTAGCTTCCTCAGAAACACGCATTAAAAAAAAGTTAGGGTTCAGTAACATGTTTTTGGAAAGCAATTCATGCTTTTATTCAGCATGAATGCATAAATTGATCACAAAAGTGACAGTAAAGACAAGTTCTTTCATGGAACTCTAGATGGCGCAGGCTGATGGGTTCTTAACGTAACTGATGATATTCACAGCGTTAAAAAACCTGGCACAAGCTGATTGGTTCATGTTTACATTTAAATGGCTGATTAGCATTCACTTAAGCATTTTGCAGTGTGCTTTCAGAGTTCCTTCTGAAACCCTCCACCTTCCCCAGCTCCACCTGTATAGATCTGCTACGGGGTTTTTTTATATGCCATTTGTGCAGCAGCAGTATGTCTTAAATACTCACAGCACTATATCACCATATGCATTGTCAGTAGCAAGCTCCTGTACTTGCTTGCAGCAGCAGCAATAATCTACAAATACAGCAATAACTAGCAGCAATTTAGCAGCAGCGTAGCAGATCTCTTCCGCCAAGACCAAATACATTAACACTGTCATATCCATTACCATGCTAAAATCTTCTGAGAGTTAATAGAAATGCTATTCTTTTGAACTTCCTATTCAAAAATGTTTCACGGTTTCCACATTGTTTTCAACATTAATAATAATAAGAATTGTTTCTTGAGCAGCAATTCATCACATAAGAATGATTTCTGAAGGATCATGTGACACTGAAGACTGAAGTGATGATTCTGAAAATTCAGCTTTGTGTCACAGGAATACATTTAATTTTAAAATGCATACAAATAAAAACACTCTTATTTTAAATAGCAATCATTTTCACAATTTTACTGCTTTTGATCAAATAAATGCAACCTTGATGAGTAATAGAGAGTTTCAAACACACTGAAAACTTATACCAACCTCTTTTTAGGGGTAGTGTATACCTGAGACATGATGCATGATGAATGAAAGGGATGGACCGTTTGGAATTAAGAATAGTGTATAACAGAACAGATGAAAACTCACCAGTCCAGCCAGTTGAACTTCACACTGTCCACAGACTTTTCCCCTCAGGTTGAGCTTCCTGTTAGTGCCATGTACCTTGGCGGCTGGTTCCGCTATTACCTGTTTCTGTTCTGCTGCAGTTATACAAACACACACACAATTCAGAACTCTACACATGATTTCTATTCCACAATTTAGTGAGCTACCTCATCAACTGCCTACATAGGACGGTACCTTTATGAATGTTCTCCATTGGCAGCGACTCTTTTAACTGTTCATCATGTGCATCACACAAATAGTACTCAAACTGTGAGACTCAACAGTCACAGTAGATTCCAACAGAGCTGGTCCATAGCATGCGTTAGAAGATAATGACTTAATATGGGAGCATATCTAGACTACTGTTCAGTAGTTTAGTTCAAATACATGTGTTTATTATGTGCCACATAAATCTGGGGAGCACAAACCCCTGCATGAATGTTCTTAAAAAACAAATATTTGGTAAAATAGTCCGTTTTTTTAATTAGATGGAGCTAATTTTCAGAGAATGAATTTTAAATTGAGTTATTTTTCTTACCACACTAGCAAATTGTGTTTTTTTCTTGGACAAATCTCATTCTAGTTTGTCTAATTTCTGTTTAAAACAAGATCAATTTGCGAATGGGGTAAAAAAAAAGATTATTCAATATATGTTCTCTGAAAACAAATCTTATCTTACTCAGTGTGTTGCTTCTCAAGTACATTTATCTTGTTATGAGGATGTTTACTGGAAAATAAGTTTAAAAAAAATAATGATCAAGAAAATGACTTTTTCTGTGACAGTTACAGTACATGTGATGCCTTAATTATGCTATCTAACAAGTGTTAAGTCAAGAAATAGATAGTTAGCTTACTAGAGTTTGGAACAGAGTTAAAGAAAATTTTGACTTGCACCATTCTGAAATTCTAACAGAAAAATACTTTACTAGTGTTGAATTTGAGGAAAAAAGGAGTTCAAAACAAGCCAGGCAAAACACATCTCAGATTCCAGTCCACCCACCTGGCACAGGCTCGTCCTTCAGCACTCTAATCTTCATCTTGCCCGGAGAGAGCTGCCCGAAACAACATATTTCAAACATCACATTATGACCAAAACCATGGTGAACCGTTCAAGCAGTTAATTCTAAAAGTGCGTCCAAAGTTTTGGACCATCCCTGGCATGAAAGGAGGAGAAGTCGGCCTGAATGAGACTGAATATTTTAAACAAGATAGACTGACTGACTTTTTTTTTGTGTATCAGCATGAAATGACGTCATCTGGTGAGAAAACTCTTACTCTGCGAGGTGCGTTCTCCTTGTTCGTCTTGACGCTCTGAATCCCGGGCTGTGCTGAACTCCAGTGAGAAGCTCCCATCTTCCTGCGTGGAAATATCACAGAAAGTTGCTCAGTTCAGCACAAAACTGCAACTAGTTGTAGTAGCCAGTGGTGTGAATCATTTGGAGAACGTACTATTACTGTAAAAAAAAAAAAAAAAACTAACCCCAAGTATTAAAATCTAGTGCATAACTCGTGGTTAACTTTTAATTAAGCGCATATCAAATAGTGGAAAACAAACACAAACAATACATGAAAGCTTTTGCCCTACATAATTCACACAGATACACAGATGGAGGTCGACTTCATTTGTTTTCTGATTTGTTGTTTTGGTTGCCACATCAAATCATCAGTCTAAATAATTCACGGCGTGATTGCGGGGGAAGCCGTTTGTTTAGAGTGGGGTGTCATGTTGGCATAGAGCCGCAAGCCTGAGTGTGTTCAAAGGATGGAAATGTATGTTATGTGTGTCTGCCTGAACAATATATTAAAGTAAAGAGGTAACCGTGCTCTTGAAATGTCTCTTTCTCTTATGTCGGTTGTAAAACTGTTTGGATGGCTGCCTGAAAAATTCTACAAAAAAAAAAAATGATTCAGGAATGAGACCAAATCATACCAAAATCCCAGAGGAATGTGTAGTTGGTGACCGGTCATGTGACTTTACCGCTGAAATGCTTCAGCTCAGTGTGTTCACATAAAAACAGGTTCACATGCTCAGAGGAAGCAGGGTACGCACTCGTATTTGAGTTTTTACTAGTTACTAATTTACTAATTTGTCAAAGCAACTTACCGTATACTAATTAGAGACAGCCCCCTTGGAACCATCTTAAGGTTAAGTGTCTTCCTGTGGGACACGACAGTGAAAGTTATTTAAATGCTAGGTTAAATCAAGCCAAAATTATAAAGTGGCCCCAAAAGTATCTAGACATTTAAGCCACACTTAAAACGGAAAATTATTCTAGAATTAGAGTGCTATAGCAACGTTATTTATTATTTTGTTCAAATGTTCACGGTTGGTTGGTAGTTTTTAATGTTTTTAACGTTTTTTATACTCCCAAAAGCTGCATTTTTTTAAATTAAATATACAGTAAAACATTAATATTGTCAAATATTATTAGAATTTAAAATAATTATTTATTCATTGAATATTTATTAAAATGTAATTTATTCCTGCAATACAAAGCTGAATTTTCAGCAGCATTACTCCAGTCTTCAGTGTCACATGATCCTCAAGAAAAATTTCTTGAATATTTTTGTGGAAACCATGATACATTTTTTCAGGATTTCGATTAATAGAAAGTTTAAAAGAACAGCATTTATTCGAAATTATTTTTCTGTAACAATAATATGTTTACTGTCACTTTTAATGCATTGTTGCTGATTTAAACTATTATTTTCTTTTAAAAAATCAATCCAAATATATAAAAGAATTTTCAGCAGCATTACTCCAGTCTTCAGTGTCACATGATCCTCAAGAAAAATTTCTTGAATATTTTTGTGGAAACCATGATACATTTTTTCAGGATTTCGATTAATAGAAAGTTTAAAAGAACAGCATTTATTCGAAATTATTTTTCTGTAACAATAATATGTTTACTGTCACTTTTAATGCATTGTTGCTGATTTAAACTATTTAATCCAAATATATAAAAAATTTCGGAAACACTTTACAATAAGGTTCATTAGTTAAACATTAGTTAATGTATAAACTAACATGAACTAACCATGAGCAATACATTTGTTACTGTATTTACTAATCTTTACTAACATTAGTTCATAAAAATACAGATGTTCATTGTTAGTTCATGTTAGTTCACAGGGCATTAACTAATGTTAACAAGATTTTAATAATGTATTAGTAAATGTTGAAATTAACAAACAAAGATTAATAAACGCTGTATAAGTGCAGTTCATTATTAGTTCATTTTAAATAATGTAGTTAACTAATGAACCTTATTGTAAAGTGTTACCAAATTTTCTTTAAAAAAATCTAACCAAAATATATACATATATATTTAACAGAATGTTATCTTCTGCAAGGCAAAAATAATAAATCTAATCACGCAGAAAAGTAATACTTTAATACTTAGGGAATTTGTTTAAATATCTAACCATAAGTATAAGCAATAGGAAAAGTCATGAATAGATCAAACTAAAAATACACAGCTCAGCAGCTCCACTAAAATCTCATATTATAAAAGAGTGAGAAAGTCAGAGACTTTAGAAGGGGCCAGCAGGGAGAGAGGACACTTCCTCTGCACGCTGTCCACTCTCATTAAGGGCTGTTTATGTGCTGGCCTTTATCAGTCTGATGGAGACGGGCGTTTGGGATGGGGATTAACCGCGCTCAAGCCTGCCTGTCAGCATTATGGGGAAACGCGCAGGCAATGTGGCAGTTGTGCTAACAACTGGCGGATTACCATCGTACGCACACTGAGTGCCAACCAACAAGACAAACACTTATCTCCTGTCAGGGTCACAGACATCAGACTCTTCTGCTACTCGAGTTCATCGTGTGGCAGCAGTGGGACAGGTGAGAGGTTACACTACTGCACATTTAATCTGGTGTTAAATCAAATTTCTGAATGATAAAAACGGCCTCTGGAAGTGCAAGTCTTCTCAATAAATGAACTTGGAAAAATTATCATTTAATAAGTTACCATTTATTAACAACATCATTTAATAAAAATAAAATACACAAAATGTTGGTCCCATTTTGAACAACATCTTGAACTATTGATGGAATATTTTTACAATTTATAATAAATGTTTTCTATGGAAGCTTGTTTCGGAAAGATACAAATATGAAGAAAAAAAAAAAACTTGTTTAGCTCATAATGCTATAACCTTTTTGTTCATCATTAAAAAATTCATCCAGAATTCCAAGATATAACTCAGAACTGCAATACATAAATGGAGAATTGCAAGTTATAAACTCTTTTTAAAACTGTGAAAAAATACATAATTGTGAGCTAAAAAAATTCACAATTATCTTTTTTTTCATGTCATGGATTTGAGAGATGTAAACTTATAATTCAGAGAAAAAAAGCCAGAATTGCGAGATGTAAACAACTTTTTTCTCAGAATTGCAAGTTTATATCTCACAATTCCGAGATTATGTTTCTGAGAGAATAGTCTGAATTGTGAGATATAAACTGCAAGAATTGCAAGAAAAAGTGTGAATTATGAGATAAAAAGTTGCAATTACCTTTTTAATTAATTCTGTGGCAGAAATGGGCTTCCATAATTTTCTGTCTTAATATATTTTAAATTGTATTTTATTCCTGTGAAGCAAAGCTGAATTTTCAGTGTCACATGCTCCTTCAGAAATCATTCTAATTCTGATTTGCTGATTTCTTCTTATTATGAATGTTGGAAACGGCTGTTCTGCCCTAATATTTTTGTAGAAACTGTGATTCATTCTTTTCAGGATTCAAAATCTTTTCTAACATTATAAAAGTCTTTACTGTTTGCCAAAAATAAATATATATTTACTGTCACTTTTTACCAATTTAATGCATCCTTACTAAATAAAAGTATTAATTTCTTAAAAACAAATTTATTGACCCCAAACTTTTAAACCGTAGTGTATGATGTCCAGCTCTGCAGGGACAAGCAACAACAAAGTATGCAAAGAAACTACAAGTTTGTTTCAGCGCTCCACTTTGTGAGTACAGTTTATTTGCCCACCGAGCATAAGGCCAGAGCCCATCGGCTCTCATCTATTCTTATGAATTCAGCTGTGGCCCTTTAGTCCTCTGCCTTCGCTACAATAAACAGCGAGCAGGTTGAGCATGGAGGAAGATAACATCAACCATTCCCAGCACGGCACCCGCAACAGAAGTTCTGCTTTGATTAATGGTCGCCGATAAGAGCTAATCTAAAACAGTTTTATTTAAAAACGTCCGTATGGAGGCAATCACAATTTAGATATGGTACCGCTTACATCCCTTAATATGACAGTTCCGGTACGCAGCCCAGATCTGGCAGACATCTTGTCTAGAGCTGCATTCTCCCTACATTCATTCATCTAATTATCGCAAAGTGCTGCCTTATGTTATTGATACAGGTGCATTTGGTGCCGTCCATCCCCATGAAGAAATCACAGGAATAACGCCATGCTATTGTCTCCGATTGGCTTTCCGCCTCACTGATATATCCGCTTTCCAGGGACAAATATGTTAAATTACGGATAAATTCATTCCTCATGCTATCTCAACATAATTCATCCTGACCGATTGCATGTATATGTTTGCATTTGTTGGGAAGTATATATGGGAATATGATGTATTTGCTGCATCTACCCCATTACCGTAGTGTTTCCCTCCCCTTTTGAGTTATGAGCTTATATGTAAGTCTAAAACGGCCGCCACTATAAATTCATGAGGTGGACCTACACAGGTCACATTTTATTGTTATTAATGAAGAGCTGAAGGAAAGGCACCGGGCTGGGAAGAGAAAGAGAGAGAGAGAGAGAGAGACATCAAATTAATAACTACTGATGTTATTTTTTCCTATTCTTTTATTTTGACAGAAAACTAATTTCCTGCCTTCCTCGTTTTGGCATAGGGTCCCACTTAATCTTAATTTGTTTGGGAGAAATGGGAAGACAAGCATGGCGATGCAGTGAGAGCGGAGCTGCTGGAGCCGAGATGACTCAATTTCCTTCCACTCGATGGCTGTGCTAATTCCATCACACCAGATCGCTCTGAAGTCAAACCATCACCTGAGATTACCTGCAGGAGCTGCATACTCCATGTGACGATCAGATTTTAAAGCTAATGGCACCTCGCTCCATTTCCACTTCTTCTCTACCTTGGCTACATATACTCGCATGCCTTTTCCTCTCGCGTTATCCGAAGTGTCAAAGGGTACGTTCACACCACAAGTTGGCCGTTGTTCAAAGTTTTAAATGTACCCATATCAGAGACTGGTCTTAAAAGAATTACTCACCCAAAAATGACAGTTTGCTGAAAATTGACTCACCCTCAGGCCATCCAAGACGTGAGGTTGTTTCTTCAGCAGATTTGGAGAAATTTAGCATTACATCACTTGCTCAACATAGACCCCCTTGCAGTGAATGGGTGCCGTCAGAATGAGAGTCCAAACAGCTGATTAAAACATCACAATAATCCACAAGTAATCCACACCACTCCAGTCCATCATTTAATGTCTTGTAAAGTATGTAAGAAACAAATCCATCATAAAGGCATTTTAATTTTAAACCACTTCTTCTGGCCAAAATACAAGTTTATAATCCACAACAATGCTTCCTCAAGTAAAAAAAAAAAAAAAAAAAAAAAAAACAAGTCCATCCCCTGTTGTCCTCTCACATAAATACCCACTGACATCTTTGTTTAGAACTGTTCTGGACCTTTTCGTTTATGAACAATGCTTGATCTGTGCATATTTCTCTCCTGATTCAGATTAGATTAATTGTATTTACTGGTAAAAGCAATATCATGGATAAAGGACTTGTATTTTAGCTGGAAGTAATGGTTTGAAGGTAAAAATGTCTTAATGGTGAATTTGTTTTTTAAAAACAAGATGTTAATAGATGGCCTGGAGTCATGTGTGAATTACTTGTGGATTATTGTGATGTTTTTTATCAGCTGCTTGGTCTCGCTTTCGGCACCTGTTCACTGCAGTGGACCCATTGTGAACAGTGATGGAATGCTAAATTTCTTCAAATCTGTTCCCATGAAGAAACAAACTCATCTATATCTACATCTGGCCTGAGGGTGAATACATTTTTCAGCAAATTTTCATTTTTGGGTGAACTATTCCTTTACTAACCCGCACGTTTTCATTAGACAAAAGCGAAATTCTAAGGAACATAACAGAACTGTATGGATGTGTAGTAGTCGGAAACCTAATGCAAATGGTGTCTTTGAGAACTTTAGGTTGTCTTTGGCGACCTTTAACTATATGTCAGTGTCTTTCTGCAAGGCACTGCACTTAGGTGACCCACACCCTTGAGAAAGCACATATGCACTGGGTTTGATTGGCATTGGCATTTCTATGACGAATGTCAAGTTAGATTAATGTATATTTACAAAGTCACATGAAAGTGTTTACAAAGTATAAAAGTGATTCAAATAGGAAATGAAAATGGCAGATCCAATGTGATTTTTGCTGTTCAAGCACATATTTAAAAATAAATGTGTAACTTTAAAATGACATCTTATTTTTGAGATACAACTTGGAAAGGAGGGCCTTCAATGCAACGTTAGTCACTTTGGAGAAAAGTCTGCCAAATAAATTAATGTAAATGTATGGCATTTGAGGATTTGTGTGATATGGACTACTTTTATGGAGATTTTTTTGTTGTCGTTTTTTGGAGTTTGACAGCCATAGCCACTTTAAACTGTCATAGTATGGGGGGAAACTCAAGAAAAAATGCAGGTTGCATACAGGTTTTGGAAGGGTGAAAAAACATGGACAGAATATTAATTTTGGATGAATTATTTGTTGAAATTCTTCTGTCTTTGCCTCCACACCTACCCTCACAGTCTCTCATTCTCTTTCTTTCACTTGCTATCTCTTCCTACGTTTTTCATTTTATTCATTGCCGTTTCATTGTTTACATTTCCTCTTTTATCTCAACGCTCTCCGTCACAGTCATTGTTTGGCTCGTTAATTTATTCATCTACTCACTCATTCATTAACTCCCTTCCCTATTTTACTCACTCCCTCTCCTCTTTCTCCTGGTTCATACGCTGTCTGAGCTCCTCCAGTCTGCTCTCCATCTCCTTGGCATGTTGATCCAGCTGCACTGTTTCCATACGCAGTTCCTGGAGATTCCTGGGGGAAAAAATACACATAAATATACGTTTTACATGCTACATATTTACTGTGACTCTAACTTTTTCCTGTTTTATTAGTGTCGCTCTGCTTATAGCAATAAAAAAAAAAAAAAAAAAAACAAGTCCATCCCCTGTTGTCCTCTCACATAAATACCCACTGACATCTTTGTTTAGAACTGTTCTGGACCTTTTCGTTTATGAACAATGCTTGATCTGTGCATATTTCTCTCCTGATTCAGATTAGATTAATTTTATTTACTGGTAAAAGCAATATCATGGATAAAGGACTTGTATTTTAGCTGGAAGTAATGGTTTGAAGGTAAAAATGTCTTAATGGTGAATTTGTTTTTTAAAAACAAGATGTTAATAGATGGCCTGGAGTCATGTGTGAATTACTTGTGGATTATTGTGATGTTTTTTATCAGCTGCTTGGTCTCGCTTTCGGCACCTGTTCACTGCAGTGGACCCATTGTGAACAGTGATGGAATGCTAAATTTCTTCAAATCTGTTCCCATGAAGAAACAAACTCATCTATATCTACATCTGGCCTGAGGGTGAATACATTTTTCAGCAAATTTTCATTTTTGGGTGAACTATTCCTTTACTAACCCGCACGTTTTCATTAGACAAAAGCGAAATTCTAAGGAACATAACAGAACTGTATGGATGTGTAGTAGTCGGAAACCTAATGCAAATGGTGTCTTTGAGAACTTTAGGTTGTCTTTGGCGACCTTTAACTATATGTCAGTGTCTTTCTGCAAGGCACTGCACTTAGGTGACCCACACCCTTGAGAAAGCACATATGCACTGGGTTTGATTGGCATTGGCATTTCTATGACGAATGTCAAGTTAGATTAATGTATATTTACAAAGTCACATGAAAGTGTTTACAAAGTATAAAAGTGATTCAAATAGGAAATGAAAATGGCAGATCCAATGTGATTTTTGCTGTTCAAGCACATATTTAAAAATAAATATGTGTAACTTTAAAATGACATCTTATTTTTGAGATACAACTTGGAAAGGAGGGCCTTCAATGCAACGTTAGTCACTTTGGAGAAAAGTCTGCCAAATAAATTAATGTAAATGTATGGCATTTGAGGATTTGTGTGATATGGACTACTTTTATGGAGATTTTTTTGTTGTCGTTTTTTGGAGTTTGACAGCCATAGCCACTTTAAACTGTCATAGTATGGGGGGAAACTCAAGAAAAAATGCAGGTTACATACAGGTTTTGGAAGGGTGAAAAAACATGGACAGAATATTAATTTTGGATGAATTATTTGTCGAAATTCTTCTGTCTTTGCCTCCACACCTACCCTCACAGTCTCTCATTACACATCTAAAACATGGTATTATCATAATTCCTCACTATTTATGTACTGAGATGAAAGATATAAAAGAGATAAAAGAGTGAAACCTGCCAAATATATTCTCATTAGTCTTGCTCCCTGCACATTTAGGCGTTAAGTTAGAATAATTATAAGAAACAAAGGCGAGGGCTGTTAAAAGGAACTAATTGTGTTTATTTTCCAGATACTTTATCAACAATACTTTATCAAAATTAGTTTTTTTTTAAGTAACGTTACTTACATCAACACCGGTCTCCCGAACTACCGCTTGTGGAAACTGTGTACATCTGTCGTTATAGCAACGTGTCTCGCGATAGTTTGTGACCTGACTGAATTCAACAACAAAACTCCTTACAGTCTATGACAAAGAACAACGGAAACAGCGAGGATAACAATAATAATAATTATTAGTAGTAGTAGTAGTAGTAGTAATAGTAGTAGTAGTAGTAGTTAGGGTTGCCACCCGGAATCTTCCCGTATTTAAAAGGTAAAATGGTGTGTCCCGTATCAGATCAATACGGGACGCGATTTGCAAATGCCAACACATAGTTAATCAACTAATAAGTATGTTGCACTGTTTATAATACTAATAGCCCTTGGTTATTAAAACATCTAGAGCTCACATCTGCCCTTTGAACACAAGGCGCTCCAGGTGTAGGGTGAATGGGAAAGTTATCAATGGGTCTGTGCTGTAACTAATGATGAGCGCGCAGTTTGCAGAGGAGCATTTCAGCTGCTCACGGTGGACTGTCTGACTTAAAGGGACAGTTCACCCAAAAATGAAACGTGTGCACACCCACAAGTTGTTCCACACCTGTAATAACTTCGTTCTTATGTTGAGGAATATTTGAAGAATGTGGGTTTCTGGTCTGATAGTGTTTTTTCTCTACTATGAAAATTACTGAGGACCTGAAGCCGTTTAGTTACCCACATTCTTCAAAGTATCTTCTTTTGTGTTTTACAGAAGAAAGAACTTTATATGCAGGTTTAGGACAACCTGGGTAAATTACTTTTTGGATAACCCATACCTTTAAAGTGACGGACACATCTGTGTATAGGTTTTATTAAAATTTGGATAGTCTGTTAATATAACATTCAGACATTATCAGTGCTTGGTAGACTTAATTATTATATTTGACAGATGAATTAATGTTAGACCCTATTTATTAATTTATCATTTATATTTATCATAACTATATACATAAAAAATAATCACATGTCATATACAATTTTGCATTTTAAAAAGTTTTTAAAAAATTCACTTAGATTACAAAAATGAGACATAATTACATCATAATGTAGCCTTAATTTAAGCAAATTAAGAAAATAAAATAACAATAAAAATGAATTCCATCCAGCTGCAGAACTGTCAAAAAAATACTAATAATAATTAATAATTATAAATAATCAAATTTAAAATAACAATATGTGACCCTGGACCACAAAACCAGTCATAAGGGTGCATTTTTCGAAATTGAGATTTATACATCATAATAAATATCACAATAAATAAGCTTTGCATTGATGTATGGTTTGTTAGGATAGGACAATATTTGGCCGAGATACAACTGTTTGAAAATCTGAAATCTGAGGTTGCAAAAAAATCTAAATATTGATCAAATTGCCTTTAAAGTTGTCCAAATGAAGTCCTTAGCAATGCATATTACTAATCAAAAATTAAGTTTTGATATATTTATGGTAGGAAATTTACTAAATATCTTCATGGAACATGATCTTTACTTAATATCCTAATGATTTTTGGCATAAAAGAAAAATCATTTTGACCCATACAATGTATTTTTAGGTTACAATAGGGAAATCTGTGTTTTAAGCTGAGAGTGTGAGCTCACATCGTGTGAGGGGTTGTTAAAAAGTTTCTTGAGGGAAAATAAATAGCAGTTTTACTGTTTTCTTTGTGTTTGGCACCTCATGTCTGTGCTAATGAAGTCCTGACGTACATCAAGCGTCCTGTGGCTTTCTGACATGGAGGAGAGAGACCTCTGTTGCTCCTGTAATTATGGACAGCTTGATTTCCCTAATTAAAATCATTTCAGCACTAAAATCAAATTTCATGTGGATGTTTTGATTGCAGTCATAAGAACCCTCATTAAAGCGTCAGCACCGTATGTCTCAATTAGTCTACAAAAATTAGTCTACTGTTTTGTTTTCACAAGAGTTTTGTGTCAGCCATTTCAGCGTTATGCATTTATTTTCTTTCATCAAATTCAAACACCCTCAAATGTATTCATATTTAAAATAATAACATATTAACATACTTTTATACAATCAACCACACTATATAATCAGTGTAAACTTGCAAGTCACTTTTATTTTAAAGGGGTCATATACGATGTTGCTAAAAATAACATTATTTTGTGTATTTGGTGTAATGAAATGTGTTTATGTGGTTTAAGGTTCAAAAAACACATAATTTTCCACATACTGTACATCATTGTTTCTCCTCTATGCCCCGCCTTTCTAAACCGTTTTAGGTAGGCGTGGCTGACTCTTAACTTTTTTAAAGAATATCTCTTTGGATTTGAGACTTTAGTCTTTGCAACTTTACAGATCTTCTTTATGCACCAAGAGCTTGTAACACTCTCTCAACGGAAAAATTTTTCAAAGGAAAAATTTAAATCGCATCATATGACCCCTTTAAAATGTCTGCTAATTACTATATGTGCATCCGCTGCCCAAATTATTCAGATGTAATTGAATAAATTGATTGCCAGAATAAATGCTTACAGCCACATGCAGATATTTTGGACCTGGTGTTTATTAAAAATAATTTTCATTCCAAAATATTTTTGCATATTGATGCTAAACTGTATAATTGAGCATCGTCCCAGCAAAATGATTTCTAACACATCTGTGCTAGTTTCAAGTGTCTCATACCACTCTGTGTCTCTTTCGGCTCACATAATAAACTAATTTAAAATCCAATCAATATTTCGTGTCCATTTATTTATTTATTTATTTGCAGCCGTGTAATAATCACTTGTTATTGAAAACTAAACCCCAGCACGGTGAGCTGAAGCGTGTGTGTGCTCATGGAGAGAAACTCAGCCGCCGCCTGCCTTTACAACACAGTCTGTCCTCATTTGTATTCAGCTGCAGTTGAAACTTTCAGATCTGCTATTGCAAAGGTATTCTTCCAGATCTGGTCTTGCCTCTCCATTCCTCCTTCCTTGCTGCTTCCCTGCCTCTCTCTGTACCAAGACGAAAGAGAGTAGGAAGCAGGCATTGCCCTCCCTTTTTCAAGGCAACACAGATGAAGGTTGATAGTGGATTTTGCCTTCTCCCTCTCACCTTCCTGCATGAGCCTGACCAAAGAGTTTGGGACCCACAGATGGATCCTGTCCTATGAGTGATACTTTATATACACAGTTAGTTTATAAAGAGAGAGAGAGAGAGAGAGTATTTTTAGGATTGAGAGGTTAACAAAATATTATATAGGCTAATAAACAGTATGGGTCTCACAGAAAACATGTCCAGGTCACATTGCACCAAAATTATTATTAGTATTTTGATTGATTGATTGATTGCCTACTTTATATTACACAACTTCAAATACTATATACTTACGAAACATGCAAAATACTTTTGCTGCTACTGAGGTTGTATTAAGATTCTTGGCATTTTTTTACATTATTTGCATGACAAAGGTGAACTTCTAAATAATGATTTGTTGTCAGAAAAAAAAATGGGGAAACAATTCCCAAACATTCTCCTGTCAACAGTAATGAGAACGCAATTATTATTATAAATTATTTATATATTTAGAATTGAGTAATAAGAAATGGGGGGAATGTGCTGTAATAATGTCACAGTGCAAAACAAAAATCATCATGGTCCTAAAAATTGGCGTCATTCTCTTTAAGCAAATTATAATTTCTTATGAAATAAGACCCAGACATGTTCCTGACAGTTTTGTGAGATTCACTCTAATATCTTTTCAAATCTATCCGATGCCACAACTTTGGCTCCAGCCACCAGCAAAATAGTCAGACTAGGACAGAATACAAATGAGCCGGACATCACAATCAGAGAGAGAGAGAGAGAGAGATTAAAAGCACAGAGGTCATGTGGTGTAACAGTGACAGATGAGAGGTCAAATGTGGCGCATGTGTTGAAATGTCAGTGCTATTTAATCCATTATGGTGCTCGATCACAGCGGCTGATTCAAATGTCATTTGTTAACTCTGGCTTTCATAAGGGACGACTGATTTTAAAATATTGTGAAATCCGCTGAGCTATGACCAGAGGGCGGTTAACAATTTAAAATCATTAGTCTGACTAGGACGACGAATGTACCATATTAACAAGACATTCTATTTCTCAGCATTTACACACATATTGTGCAGCACATATGTTACACATTCCCAAAATGGCAGTTATATCTCGTTGTAAAAAGGGTCATTAAATAAAAAATAATAAATACAGTCATGACAGAATTTTAAGGCATCATAGGTACGTTCAGTTATGCTGACATGGTCTTTTGACCACCTTAGTAATTGTCATGTGTTTTTTGTGGTAAACGCAATCTCAGAATGTACTGAACATTTTTTATTTTCTTTTTTTTTAAGATAATGCATGAGATAAGAAAAATGCTGAAATGAGTACTGTTTAAATACAAAACTATTTGCACCAACATGTTCACATACTGTTTATTTATTTAGACAAGTATATCTAAAACACAGGAAAGACATGGATAAAATAATAAAATATGAATATTTTAACCCATATTTATGCACGCCAATTATTTTAAGTTATTTAGAAGTTCATTAAAAAATATTTATTTATACTAAGTTTGACTAAATAATACATTTTTTAATTATCTGAAAAAAATGGATACCTTTTTTTAAATATTTGTGCACAAAAATTTATTTAATATATAAAAAATATAAATGTGTACTGAAAAAGTATGAATAAAATACAAAAATATAACTATTTTAATCAATTTTTGAGAATGCTATTTATTTGCACAAAAAAAAAAAAAAAAAAAAAAAAAAAAGTAATTCAAAATAATGAATGCTGAAAATAGAAAACTAAATAAAAAAACATTTGAAATTATTCGCTTAGAGCAACCGTACAGTATGTATTTTTGCGAATTTGGAGCCCCCTATAGTTAAAAGAGTTCATTTCACTGTCGTAATTACAGTAGATCGCTGTACATGCGCATTTATTGCTGCCGAGAAACAATCCCTTTTCGTGGAATTTCGTATCCGCTCACCAAACTTAAATAATCCTAGAACAGACAATTGGAAAGAGACAAAAGCCATTCGCCTTATGAGAAGTCACTGTACCATCAGAATGATTTTAAAACTGATATTTCAGGGTAAAAACTTACATTCAGTTACTTTTAAAAAAAGTGACTTTTAACCAATATCTGTGCATGCTATGTATTTCTATGCCTCAGCTAAGCAACATGCTAACATCGGTGTCTATGGAAATCAATTATAACTGGAGTCTCCTATAGGACACAGGAGTTTCTGTCCATGTCCAAATCAATTACTTATGAGGTTTCATTTCAGTTAGGATGCTGTTTTAGTAGACAGCTGCCTGTGGAGGCAGTAGCAATGTAGCAATGACCTGATCATGAAAGTAAAAAGACATACAGACCTTGTAATAGTTGCTGTGGTGACAACATGATGGGTCGGTTTGACAAGCTAGTTCATCCCGGTCAGATTTTTCTCACCACTCAGTGACCTCCACCATGCTGCCAGTGAGGAGAGGTCAAGAGGTCACCGAAGTCCAAGGGTCAGATTGTCAGAAGCATTCATCTCTGGCTGCTCTGAGATTGACGTGATATCAGGGGGGAAACGCATGTAGTGCTGACCGCTCCGGGAAAGAAACTGAGAAAAAGTGACCTATTCACTCGCAAAGCAGACGCTCTTTTTGACAGCAGGATTTCCAAACTCACCACTGTTAGCAAGAGGGAGAGAGAGTATGGGGTTAGGGAGATAAGCGAGCTATGAGAGACAAACTATGGCAGAGTGAGAGATTATATTGAGAAATATATGAAACTGATGGAAATCAGACAGGCCTGAAAGTTGCTCTGATCAGGGTCTCCACAAAGCCACGGGCCCAAGCCAAAGCAGCCGGTTGTGATGCTGTCACTGACATCGAAGGGTGTGTTTTTACTCTTCACATTAACACAACGCCCTGTCTTGACAGTCGTCCTGAAATCTAGAAACACAAACATTAGAGGACAAGGTTAAAGTCCATATGAAATCAGAACTGATCCTGAGCGATTTGTCAGTAAAGAAAAGGTTTGTTTTTATAGTCTTTCATCAAACTTTATCTCTGAAACGACTTTCTTTCTCTGCTGATGTCACTAAGGCCTGTGGTAGTTTTAGGATACTGTTGTACATTAATAGACTGTACATTATGACAATAAAAGTACTTGAAAATTAGTGTTACCTTTAATACAAGGAGCACCCCAGCCTCCTAAAAGTACATTCTAATGCATTGAATCAAGTTTGTTAAACAAAACAAAAAATTAATTCAAGATAATGGAGGAGATGTGAAAAATGTTTACAGAAAATATAGGAAAAATATGGATAAATTAATGAAAAATTATTTTTCTTTTTTTAAAGGTCATTGAAAAAAACATACATTAAGGAGGTCATTGAAAAATCATTGATGATAGTGGATGAGTCATGAAATATTTTAAAAAGTATACTGAAAAATATAGATATTTTTATTAAAATGTGACTATTTAACCAATATTTATTTATTAACTTTAATTTATTTATTTAGAAGGTCATTGAAAAAGCATTTAAGAAAGTGGATGAGTTAAGAAAAATATTAAAACGGAAGGATGAAATAAATTGTATTATAATATTGTAAAATAAAATTGATTTGTTTATTATAATTGAATTATTTTAAAAGGTGAAAAGAATCTGAAAATAATTATTTAAGAGTACAAGTATACAAGTACAAGTATAAAATACAGAAAACTATGGATAAAATAATTTAATTAAAATGTTACTTTTAACAAAGGTTTATTTACTGAAATTGAAAAACATCATTTAAGATCATTTTATATTATAAAACTATTGTAATTATTAAATCATAAAAGTATACTAAAAATACAGAAAAGTGCTGATAAAATAATTTAATTAAAATGTAATTGATTTACCGTTTGCTTATTTACTTATTTAGAAGGTCATTGAAAAAAGATATATTTAAGATGGTAGACGAATCGAGAAAAAGATAGTGTCACATCTGTTAAAGCACTGACACAGGGGCCTGCCAAAAGTGTCAGGCCTCATCCTGTGTTTCAGAGCTGGCAGACTGACAGACATCTCTTCACCGAAGCCCCAGGACTTTGAGGACACACTTCTGCACTCCAGACAACGTCCGTTTCCATCCCGTATAATCTTTTTTTAGGGTGTGACCAAATGACTTTGTTATGATGTTCATGAAAATTTATGACGTTCCTATTTCACCTCTGGCGAGTTTCAGGTGCTGCTCGGCGTCTGAGGGAGTAAATCAGCCCACAGCCCTCGATAAAAGCACTCCGGCACGGCTTCTTCCTTCCGGGATGTTTTCATATGCTGCTCATTATAATCAATGAAAACAACATCATTTGACCTTCAGTAACCTCCCCTTTTCAACCATTTTCTGAGCACTGAACCTGTTTGGGTTACATACAGAGCAATTCAATAGCTTAGAAACAGTCAGATAAATGTACTTCACTGCATTGCTCAGCTAAACTGTTTTAATAGCCACACTACCATCTAGAGGTCACTATTGGAACTAGTAAGACACCATTTGTCTTCAGATCTTAGCAGAATGACTTCTTCATGGGATCTTTAATGTCCCATTTTGCCATTTTTCTAGCCAGAATTGATTAAAAACCTCAACCCATCCCTTCATTTCTAAGTCAAAGGAGATTAGCATGCGTTTGATCCTGCATTATATATTTAATTGGCCAGCAGGCTGGTTTCTCACCTGAGGTTTGATCTAAGCAGGATTTGTTGTTGTTTTTCCACAACAGCATGAAGATAAGTGTGACGACCTGCTGTCAGGGCTGCTGTGGGGCGATAAGACACGTGTCCTCATGTGACCAGCGGCCGTGGACGTCCAGCACGGGTGACACCATTCACCACATGCTGATAGTCTAGAAGGTGGGTTTCGTTTAATAATTGTGTGACTGTACCTGTGCACAGACTCTCAACTACTCCTTATAAAAGTTTACCATGGGTTTACTGTTATAACACTCATTGTAGTTCCTATAGCATTTAGGAAGTAATGTTGAGGCAACAGACATGAATGATTTAATCATGGAGCTTGCTGAGGAGGAGACTACTGGACAATAAAATGAACAAAAATAAATAAATAAAACATAATTGCTGGGAGAATACACATGTGATACTTATGTGTACAATACAAGATTGTAAAATTAAAACACTAAATAGAACCCAACCACACAGTACAATCTAGTAATCAGCAACGCCCTAGTAACCACTCAGAAAACATTAGCAACTGTCGCAAAACGGTCCCAATTTTAAACAGACATTCATGTTTTGTTCTGTAATATACATGAATTTTAAATCTGTTAAAAACATTCAATTAGTGCAGACAACAAAATTTAGTTTGATTGATTGATTGATTGATTGATCTAGCAGGAAATACACATTTCTGATTTTAATAAAAATATTTCTTTAAATAAAACAAAATTAATGTATTTTTAAACAAACGAACAAGCAAACAAATAAAAAAAATGTATAGCTAGGAAATACATTTTTCTGATATTCTCAAAAATATTTATTTAAAAGAACAGACAGACAGACAGACAGACAGATAGACAGACAGACAGATAGATAGATCATCAGACAGACGGGCGGACAATTTCTGATTTTAATAAAAATATTTCTTTAAATAAAACAAAATTAATGTATTTTTAAACAAACGAACAAGCAAACAAATAAAAAAAATGTATAGCTAGGAAATACATTTTTCTGATATTCTCAAAAATATTTATTTAAAAGAACAGACAGACAGACAGACAGACAGATAGACAAACAGACAGACAGACAGATAGATAGATCATCAGACAGACGGGCGGACGAACAGAGATAGATAGATAGATAGATAGATAGATAGATAGATAGATAGATAGATAGAACATCAGACAGATGGACGGATGGATAGAACATCAGATAGATAGACAGAAAGACAGACAGACAGATAGATAGATATTACAATGTTAATTATTTTGCTAATTAAACTACTCTCTGAGAAAAGTGAGAGAATGGTTTAATTCTATCTTGCTGTTTGTGCCGCATTGTATCGTATATTGAAGTTTCAAGCGTCGAGCTGCAATTAAACAGTGAGCCACAATTACTATTAAATCAAGTCTCGGTGGCCCCTGGCACCTCACATTAATTAAAAATGTGGTATGAGTATCAAATGTTCAGCGAGAGAAAAATGTGTTTCGTTTGGAATTGACTATGGAAGCATGCAGCCGTCTCTATCAGCGCCGCAGGGCTGCAGCGTCCTGCATCTCAACAGCCTCTGATGCACCACTAAATGATGCTGTTTTCCTATAAGGTAATTTTTTCATAATGGATGGTTTGAAAAGTGATGAAGTGCCCCTTGAAGGAAAACCTGACACACACAGAGTACTTTTCTCTCGCCTCTGAGCGCAGTGATTATTATGACAAATAAATGACTTGCATTATTTATAATATGTAATAAAACTTTGGTGATACAATGCATCATTGTAATCTTCTTAGGATAATCTTTTAATTCCCTCATTATGAATTAGCGCAGAGTCTTACCTCAAGAGTAAGCCAGTGGAAACATTAGCTTAGCCCTGCTTTGATGTGTTACTGAGATTTAATTAGCAGAGTAGGCATGAGTCAGTCTCGGCCCTGCACAAGATAAACAAACCCAAACTGCTTTGTGCCACGTTAGACGGCTCAACCACAGTGCTGTCCCGCGTAGAGCCTCCTGGAGTTGTCAGTCATTCTGATATAAAACCATCTTCTCGAGTCGTTTCTGACTTGTTGAGTCCAAAATGCCTTGTATTATGCACTTTATGAGTACAGTATGTGGAGAAAACACATTAACAATACAGCGATATACTGTACACATCTTCCACAGGGACTATCCATTTTTCCATTAAACTTATGCGGCGTAAATGTTTATAATTTCACGGCAAATGGCCACACATAAGGCCAAAAGATGTGTTTATTAACCAAGAACAGGACATTATCACTTCCAAAATTAAGAAGTGCAAGGAAACCAAGTGAGGTAAAAGGAGTGAACTAAATGATGGCAAACTAAAAGGAAAAAGTGCACAGGTGGATGGGAATTCAAATTCTAAGGATTTTGATTCAGATTCCTTTCAAAGATTCTTCCTAGAATTCTGAGGGGCAAACCTGTTGCCTAGGGTAGTTTCCAAGGTGTTGCTATACAGTTGCTAAGGTGGTCTGAGTGGTTTTAACTAGCATTTTGTAATGGAGCTGCTAGGTAAGTAGTTGTTAGGCTGTTGCTAAGGGGTTCTGGGTGGCTACTTACTGGCCCAAGTCTAAGTAATCAGGCCTTACTTAATTTTTTCCATCTATCGTCCAACTGGTGAAATTTGTTGAATGAACTTTGATCATTTAATAGCACATCTCTCTATCAAAGCCCCTTTTCGTTTCCATTAACTGAAGTTATGCAACTAAAACATATTTTTTCCTCTCGTGATAAGTCAATTGATGGCAATGGATGCTGGTAGGTTTATGTATATTGCAGCCACCGCACTAGCCATTATTTTTAATTGAAGGTGACTTAGACATGTATCTTTAGCAAAGCAAAGAGAGTCACTTCTGGGATGCTTCTGAAACATGCCACGGCGCGGCTGGTATAAACACAAGCATTGACTAGAGTGGCCCTATCAGTTCCGGTGGCCTTGTCAAAGCCGAAATGCAGTGTAAATAAAAGGGGGTTTTCCAAGCATTAATGGCAAGGAAAGCCCTTTATACGTGAGAGCAGCCATGTATGAGGTGTTTCTTGGAGATTACAGTACATTAAAGAATGATCATATTACTTTTACATACGCCAGGTGACCTGTAAATGCGAAAAAAATGTTTCCTTTGCAGTTTTGCGACATATTCCTTTTTCGAATTGCCTGAAAAACCACCTCATGCGAGCGTAAAAAAATTTTTTGTGACATATGGGAGTTTTTGTGA